AGGGCCGCTGCCTTCCGACTCCAGTTCATCCAGAGACTTCTTGCTGGTCCCAGTGAGCTGGTTTGGAGGGCGGTATCATGCAAAATATTACACACAGTAGGTGGTCTGGGGTTGGACAGAGCATTGTTTTTAATGAGCACCAAAACACTGGACATTGCTGGGTTGCCTGTTTTTTATCGAGGACTTTTTAAAATCTGGAACTTTTTTAATGTGAATAAACAGGCTGGCTCCGCTTTGCACTGGCTGTTGGAGGAGCCTCTTTTCAACGGCACACGACTGGACTTGGCGGGCACGATCACCCCTGCACTGACTAGAGTCTTGTTGTCATCAGGAGTCACAACCCTACGCCGGCTGGTGGACGTCGCCGGACCAGATCTCACTCGGGTGGAGGACGTGGCTGCGAGGCTGGGGATGAGATCGCTGCGAGTTGTGGCTCAGCTGCTCGAGGGCTGGAGGACAGCTCTCTCTCCTGAGGAACGCGAGCAGGTGAGGGCCTACAGTGCAGGGGTGGTCAGTCCTACGGAGCATGACCCATTCCCGGACATCACTATCACGCCGGACCTACAGGACTGTGAAGGCCCCCTTCTGGAGTGTGAGGGGGAGTCCAGAATGAACTTGGGGACAGTGTCTGGTAAGCTGCTGTACAGAGCCTGTGTGAAGGTACTGAATAAGAAAAGACTGCACAGTAGAACCGACACACCATGGCGTGATGTTTTTAATCTGAGTGATGATGTGAAGCCGGAGTGGAGAGCACTGTATAAACCACCATTGACTAAAAAAGTAGCTGACCTGCAGTGGAGGATTTTACATGGTATTGTCTCAGTCAACGCTTTTATTTCTGTTTTAAATCCTGAGATTTTACCACAGTGTCCTTTTTGTCCCCAGAGAGAAACTGTGTTTCATGCTTTTATGCACTGTTTTAGGCTTTGCTCTTTGTTTGAAGTTTTAAAGAATGTTTTTAGGTCTCTTAATGTGACTTTTACACTCCAGACTTTTATCCTTGGTTTTAAGTACGTCAGAAGAGAGAAATCCAAATGCCAACTGATCAACTTCATTCTTGGGACGGCGAAAATGGCGATATATATCAGTCGTAAGAACAAGGTGGCGCATGGTACTGACTGTGAGGCCACAAGGATTCTCTCTAGGCTGGTCAGATCAAGGATTTTAATTGATTTTAATTATTATAAAAGCATGTGTGATGTGGAGGCCTTTGAGGCGATGTGGTGCTGTGGTGGGGCCGTGTGCTCAGTGTGCGAGGGTGAGCTCTGCTTCGCTCCTGAGCTCAGATGAGCCGGACTGGGTTTTATTTGTTTTCCTGTTTTTATCTATTTATAAAGTGTTTGTCTTATTTTTATTTAATCAATTAATTTATTTCAATATAGCCTAAGATGACACTTTGTGACGGATGACTGTTTTAAAAAAAATGCTGGTTCAATAAAGGACCATCAAAAGTCAAAAGTCTCTCTCTCTCTGTCTCTATCTCTCTCTCTTTCTCCCCCTCTCTCTCTCTCTCCCTCTCTTTCCCTCTCTGTCTCTATCTCCCCTCCAACTTCTCTGACAGAAAGAATGTGGCACGTCTGTCCTCCTTAAGAATCCCTCTGTTTTTCTCTTTTCCTTTATCCCTCCATCTTTTCTCTGAAAAGCTCTGCAGCAGACAGAGCAGCGGCGCATTCCAGCCAAAACACACACACACACACACACACACACACACACACAGCTCCCTCCCCCTGCATGACCCATTCTTTCTTTTTGTCTTTCTTTTTCTTTTCTTTTTCATTCTCATTTTCATTTTTACTCCCTTGTTCTTTTCTCCCTGTCCTTTTTCATTCTTTCCCTCCTTCTCTTCCTCCACTTGCTCTTCATCTCTTTCTCCCTTTCTTTTTTCTCTCTCCCCCTCTCACCATAAATTTTTCATTCCTTTCTCTTTTCTTCCTAAGACTTTCTCTGTCTCTCCTTCTCTCTTCCCTCCCTCCTCCCTCTCTCCTCTTTCTCAGTCTTTCTCTCTCTCTTTCTGCCCCCCCTCTCTCTCTAAACTCTCTCTCCTTCTCTCTCCCTCTTCTCTTTCTCTCTCTAGCACCCTTTCCCTCTCTACCTTTTTCTTCCCTTCTCTCTCTCTCCTCTCCCCCCTCTCTCTAGCCCTCCTTCTCTCTACCTTTTTCTTTCTCTCTCTCTCTCTCTAGCCCCCCCTTTCCTCTCCCTCCTCTCTCTCTCCACTTTCTCTGTCTCTCTCTCTCTCTCATTAGCCCACCCCTTCCCTCTCCCTCCTCTCTCTCTTTCCCTCTCCTTCCTCTCTCCCTCCCTCTCTCTCTCTCTCTAAGTCGGGGTCGTCAGGTTGAGTGAGTACAGTGAGCTCCGTGAGCCAAATCTACAGCTCTGCGCTGTGAGTCACTGAGTTTATACTCATACAGTGACTCCAGAAAGTGTTTGGACGTTTCTGTGCGGCGCTTAAAGCCGTTCGAGGTTCAGTGTGTTAGAGAACTGAGCGTCAGACCCAGCTGCTCCGCTTCAAACGCTCTCTCCTCTCTGGCTGTGAGGCTGCTGAGCCGTTTGTGTGTCCAGACGTCTGCAGGTTTGATCCAAAACGTTTTTAAACACCTCTGAGTTATAATCCCACCACCGAGCTGACCGACACCGCGGTGAGAGAAACAGCCGCGCGCCTCGGCGCTCTGTGGAGCGGCTTCAGGGCCGCCTGGACAGACATGAGGCTCTTTGATGGTTCAGGAGACTCAGAGAAACAGCAGCCCTGAGACGCTTCACTGTCCAGAGAGACGTTACAGCAGCTACAGCAGCAGAACTGTCGCCTTCCTGGACTCTTTGAATATATGGTTCTACAAGGGTTCTTTAGTAAAGACAACAGTCCTGTATAGAACCACGAACACTCAAAGAACCATTTGCATGCTTAAAGCCGTTTTAGCATGGTGAGATGGTTCCTCAGACTGATGGAGAATGTGTTGTATACGGTTCTGTATAGCACCAAAAAGGGTTCTGTCAAGCTTGTGTACAATAGCAGAACCCCTTTTTGGTGCTAATTAAAACCATTTTCAAAAAGGTTCTATATAGAACCATATACAACACATTCTCCATCAATCTGAAGAACCATTTCACCATACAGAGAACCACTTAAGCATGCAAATGGTTCTATATAGACCTCAAGGGTCCAAATAGAACCATTCAATTTACTGAAGAACCCTTTTTTGAGAGACAGTTGTGCTCTTACAAATTAACTAATTAAAAAATAAACATTCTGATGATGAAACGGTTCTTCAGACTGATGGAGAATGTGCTGTATATGGTTCTAGCTTGACATTGTAACAACAGCAAAATCCTTTTTGGTGCTATACAGAACCATATACGACACAGTCTCCGTCAATCTGAAGAACCGCTTCACCATGCAGAGAACCATTTAAGCATGCAAATGGTACTTTGAGTGCTCATGGTTCTCTATAGTCTTTACTAAAGAACCCTTGAAGAACCATCGTTTTTAGTGCACCACACTGGACGAAGCTGGTCTGTGTGGGGTGTTTTGGTGAGGTCAGTCTCAGTAGGTCAATGGAACCAGACGTCTTTACAAGTCATTTTGGGCTGTTTCTTTTAGTCCATTCACCATGAAATTTACACACAATGTAAAGGCCAAAATGCATTTTCAAATCATGTCAAAAACTGAAAAATGACAAAAATGGAGATACGAGGTTTTGACATCAGCGATATGCAAATGAGCTCTGTTGTGATTGCCTCATTCTAAAAGCAGTCCAGGCTGAAACACTTCTTACATCCAACGTATTACAACACGAGTGGGTGGGGCTAAACTACTGTAGCCTAAATAGGTGGACATGTAACTGCATTAGTTTTTGTGACATCACAAAAACAGAGTTCTGAATTAGCTGTTTTAGCAGCTTAATTTCGACCATGTTTACTTACTATGTTAAACTTTTATTTACATAAAGTGAGATCAGTTTTCAGTGATATGGGCCCTTTAAGCAAAAGCCTTGGTCTTTGCATCTGATCTCACTTGTCTAGGAGAATCTACAGAGATGTTAAGATATCTTTAATATTATTATTATTATTATTTTAACTCATTTTCTTTATCATGGGAGGAGTCTAGCATCACTTTGACATCATGCTAAAAGTGTTTTTCCCTTTTTTAGTTAAACATTTCAGAAGGACTTTTATTAAAGTTTAGCTCTTTTTAAAAAAGTTCGTGTCCAAACTGACCCTCTGTTTTTATACGGGACCGAATGAAGTATGTAAAGTGTGCGTTAGTGTGCAGCGTATAGTGAAGCCAGACATTCCTCCAGTGCATCACAGTGGCCATCGGAAACCATATGTTTTCACAGTTCACATCTGGGAACTATTAAACCCCCCCTTTCCTCCCCTTTACTGTCCCCTCCCCCAACAACACACACACACTCACACACACACACCAGGAGGAACCCCTACACCTCCTCTCCTCTCTCCTCCCCTCGCTCCCTTCCTCACCCACTCTTCTTTTCTTCTCTCCTCTCATTTCCTTTCCTCTTTCTCCTCCACTCTCCTCCTCCTCCTCCTCTCTGCTTTGAGCTGTGACTGTGTCCATTCACTGTGTCTCAGTAGGTCTATGAGGTCCAGGCCGTTCCAGCACACGGTATTTATTTTGGCTGCCTCCTCCCTATTGTGCTGTCATTTGCCCCCAAGCTACCCCCCCCAACACCCCCCCTCCACCCCACACCCCCCCACCCCACCACACACCCCCCCCCCAGTCCTACAGTGAGGGGCTCCAAACTCACCTTAAAGGGGCCACTGTGGGTAAAATCACATCAGCAGTGCAGAAAACGGCGAACTCAGCCTCTTCCATTCATTTCTGCATCAACTAACTAAGTGTTTGGACTCAGAGCTGAAGCCGGACTGAGCTGATCGAGCTGATTGATCAGTGATCAGGTGGTCAGTGAGGCCGCGCGTGCTAACCACGCTCCTGCTGAGTCTAAATCAGCCTCGAGAACCAGGAGAAAGTCAGAAACTCTTACCTTCAGGTGCCTCGACTGTTCCCCGAGTGCGCTCTCTGTCTCGCCGTGCGCGTGTATGTGTGTGCGCGAGCCTGGGACTGATCGACTCTCCGCCGCTCCACTGGGTCCTAGCGCGGACCCCCGTTCCCTGAGGCCACGCCCACCCGCTGCAGAACGCTTTGGGGTGGGTGGAGAGGGGCGTGGGGTTGTTTACAGGGGCTCTGAATGCACGTTTAAGATGAGCTATTTGAGGCTCTGAGCTCCTGAGTGGCACAGCTGTCTCTTAAAAAGATGGTTCTTCAAGGGTTCTTTAGTAAAGGCTTCTAGAACAAGAATTTCATGCTTAAATGGTTCTCTGCATGTTGAAATGGTTCTTCAGATTGATGGAGAATTTGTTCTATGTGGTTCTATATAGCACTAGAAAGGTTTTGCTATTGTTAAGAAGCTTGTAGCAGTCACAGTAGAACCCTTTTTGGTGCTACACTCTTAAAAAAGATGGTTCTTCAAGGGTTCTTTAGTAAAGGCAATCTTCTATATAGAACCGTTTCATGCTTAAATGGTCCTCTGCATGGTGAGATTGAAGGAGAGTGTGTTGTATATGGTTCTGCATAGAACCTTTTTGAAAATGGTTCTATACAGCACCATGTATACAAGCTTGACATCAGCAAGCGTAACAATAGCAGAACCCTTTTTGGTGCTGTCTCCATCAGTCTGAAGAACCATTGCACATGCAGAGAAAAATTTAAGCATGCAAATTGTTCTTGGAGTGTTCATGGTTCTACATGGAATCGTATTCTTTACTAAAGAACCCTTTAAAAGAACCATCTTTTCAAAAGTGTAGCACCAAAAAGGGTTCTTCTTTTATTGTTACAAGCTTGACATCATTAACAATAGCAGAACCTTTTGGTGCTGTATAGAACCATATACAACACGTTCTCCATCAGTCTGAAGAACCATTTCACCATGCAGAGAACTCATGGATTACCCTCTTTTAAGACCCCTAATTAAGAACCCTCAAAGAACCATCATTTTTAAAGGTGTACACTGCAAAAAATGATATCAAGGTGAGTGAAATCATCGTAACTCTAGTCTGTATATCTAATATTTCTCATTTTCAGATTGTAGTAAAAAATATTAGTTAAGATTATTTAAATATTTGTAGATTTTTTTATTCAGGTAACTTTATTAGTGAAATGAAACTATATCAGCAGATAATTTGGTTGTTTTAAGAAAAAAAGCTTGAAACAAGCAAAATTAACCACCAATAAAGAGAGATAATTACAGAATAACAGGAGTAATGAGTGAATTTACTTATTCAGAAAGTAATGAGTAATGTAATCATTACATTTTTAAAAATGTAATTAGTAACTGGTGATCGAGTACTTTTTTGAGTAACTACATGTCACAGTCCATTATAACTCATAAAATATAACATTATAACATTATAACTTATAAAATTACTGAAAATATTTGCTACAGTCGCAAATCACAGCTATTTTAAAAATGTATATATATTTCGTAATTGGTTATTTAAGATCAACATGTGCATATAATTTGTATTTTCGTGGGGCCCTTGGCTCTTGGGGCCCAAGGCGGCTGCCTACCTTTGCCTAAATCTGGCGGTTGAGGGCCCCCTAGTGGCCAGGGACCCTGGGCACATGCTCAACATTATGTACCCCTGAAAGGTCATCTCTACTTTCACTTATCAGTGACTAAATAAAATAAACATTTAAGTGTTTGAAAAAATAGGTGATTAAAAAGCTTCGTTTGGCCTCCATTTAACGTTTATATTAGTGGTTTGGTTTACGTGTTGCTTCATTCTTATTTTTGTGCCAGCCGTCCCCATAACATGCCAACCAACCCCGCTAGAAAAACCAGCACAGACCACCAAATCCAGCATATGTTGACTTTTGGATGCTGGTATGCTGGTCATCCAGCAGGACCTTGCTGGGTGTTCAGCTAAACCAGCACCAGACCAGCCCAGAATACATGCAGGTCTAAGGGAAGCCCATGCTGGAGCTGGTTGGCGTCCCTGCCAGAGAAAGCAGCAGCATATGTTGTGTTTTGGATGCTGGTATGCTGGTCAACCAGTATGACCCTGCTGGGTGACCAGCTAAATCAGCACCAGACCAACATAAAACCAGGATAAACCATCTTAGACTGGCTTAGAATTCATGCTGTTTATTTCAGCAGGGTTTACACACTTAAAACTGCAGAGCCCACAAATGAATACATTGAGGTCATAAGTTATAAGGAACTTAACTTGTGGCCTCAATATATTAATTTGAGGCCACACCTTATTTAAAATAATCCCCAAGTCATTTTAGGGGATTAATATAAAACATAAGTAAATACAGTGAAATTTCCTCCTAATTCATTCATCTCTGCCTGACTTTTCAGTTGTTCATCAGTGCGCACTCGTGTTTTAGAACGCTTAGCTAGCATATACTGTGTTCTAGAACACTTGCACGTATAGAATGCTTAGCTAGAGCATATTGTGTTCTAGAACACTTGCACGTATAGAATGCTTAGCTAGTGCATACTGTGTTCTAGAACACTTGCACGTATAGAATGCTTAGCTAGTGCATACTGTATTCTAGAACACTTGCACATATAGAATGCTTAGCTAGTGCATATTGTGTTCTAGAACACTTGCACGTATAGAATGCTTAGCTAGTGCATAGTGTGTTCTAGAACACTTGCACGTATAGAATGCTTAGCTAGAGCATATTGGGTTCTAGAACACTTGCACGTGAAGAATGCTTAGCTAGTGCATAGTGTGTTCTAGAAGACTTGCACGTGTAAAATGCTTAGCTAGAGCATATTGTATTCTAGAACACTTGCACGTGAAGAATGCTTAGCTAGAGCATATTGTGTTCTAGAACACTTGCACGTATAGAATGCTTAGCTAGTGCATACTGTGTTCTAGAACACTTGCATGTATAGAATGCTTAGCTAGAGCATATTGGGTTCTAGAACACTTGCACGTGAAGAATGCTTAGCTAGTGCATAGTGTGTTCTAGAACACTTGCACGTGTAAAATGCTTAGCTAGAGCATATTGTATTCTAGAACACTTGCACGTGAAGAATGCTTAGCTAGAGCATATTGTGTTCTAGAACACTTGCACGTATAGAATGCTTAGCTAGTGCATAGTGTGTTCTAGAACACTTTCACGTATAGAATGCTTAGCTAGAGCATTATGGGTTCTAGAACACTTGCACGTATAGAATGCGTAGCTAGAGCATATTGTGTTCTAGAACACTTGCACGTATAGCATGCTTAGCTAGAGCATATTGTATTCTAGAACACTTGCACAAACAGCATGCTTAGCTAGTGCATATTGTGTTCTAGAACACTTGCACGTGTAGTGTTATAGAACACTTTCATGTGTAGAATGCTTAGCTAGTGCATAGTGTGTTCTAGAACACTTGCATGCATAGAATGCTTAGCTAGTGCATAGTGTTCTAGAACACTTGCACATGCAGAATGCTTAGCTAGTGCATAGTCTTCTAGAACACGTGCACATGCAGAATGCTTAGCTAGAGCATACTGTGTTCTAGAAAACACACAGCTAGTGTACACTGGGCACTCATGAACACTCAGAAGTGTGCATTTGTGTTTCAGCGAGCTTAGCTAGCATGTACATTCTTAAAAAGATGGTTCTTCAAGGGTTCTTTAGTAAAAAAAAAGGTTCTATAAAGAACTGTGGACACTCAAAGAACCATTTGCATGATTAAAGGGTAGTTTGCATCATGTAGGGGTTCTTAAGAATGTGTTGATAGTTCTACATAGAACCCTTTTGAAAGGGGTTCTTCTATTGTTACAAGCTTGACATTGTAACAACAGAAGAACGATTTTGGGTGCTGTATAGAACCATTTTCAAAAAGGTGTCTACATAGAACCATCTACAGCACACTCTCCATCAATCTGAGGAACCATTTCACAATGCAAAGAACCATTTAATCATGCAAAGAGTTCTTTGAGTGTTCACAGTTCTATATAGAACCTTTTTCTTTACTAAAGAACCCTTGAAGAACCATCTTTTTGAGAGTGCAGGTTACTCAAAGTGTGACTCAAAGCTTTCTGAAGGCTCTTCATGTCACCCCAAAACAAAGTCACCCAAAGCCCTCAGTGTAAACTGGTACCTGTGGATCAGTTGGAGAACCTGTGGATCCCCAGCAGAACGTGTAGTACTTTATCATCTGTGTTTTTAGAGGTTTTATTTAATTTGAGGGCTACAACAAACACGTCAGCACAACTGGTTTTCATAGCCCAACAGCTTTTCCCAGAAAACCGCACTGTTAATAAGAACTGTATTGTATTTCAGTCTGCTCTCTGCTGCCCCCTTGTGGCCAACACCCACACCGGCGTGAGCATTCAGGCACTGCTGTCAATGTTTTTGCTGGATACATACAACCGGATGTAAAAGTTTGTGCACCCCTGGTCAGATTCCATGTTGTTGTTGATTTTCTAAGTGTGAATAAGTTAACACACCCTCTACAGAGACACTTCTGCACATATTAATACACAAATACTGTTTACTTACTGAATATAGCATACTGGTATAAATTTGTGGCCTGTGTAAAAGTTATGGCGCATTTTATATTTTATTTTTACCCCCTAATATGTTCAACTCAAAAAAGTGTTGGAAAAATATTTTAAAAATATTTGTTCCCTGACGACGCATTAATAGAATGCAATGATGTACAAATAATGTAAACCATTTTTAAAGGAAAGTAGTACAAAGACAACATATGAAATGTTGAAACTGAGAAATTTTATTGTTTTTTTTTAAATATTTGCCCATTTTGAATTTGATGCCAACAACATCTTCCAAAAAAGTTGGGACAGGGGCCTGTTTAGCACTGTGTCTCATCACCTCTTCTTTAATAACACTCTGTAAGTGTTTGGGAACTGAGGAGACACTGCTGTAGTTCTGAAAGTGAAATGTTTTCCTGTTCTTGTTTGATACAGGATTTCAGCTGCTCATCAGTTCAGGAGCTCATTTATCGTATTTTTCATTTCATAATGGCCCAAATGTTTTCAGTGGTGACAGGTCTGGACTACAGGCAGGTCAGTTTAGCACTTGGACTCTTTTAATACAGAGCAATGCTGTTGTAATTCATGCAGAATGTGGTTTGACATCGTCTTGCTGAAATAATCAAGGCCTTCCCTGAAAAAGACGTCGTCTGGATGGCAGCATATGTTGCCAAAACCTGTATATATCGTTCAGCATTAATGCCGCCTTCACAGATGAGCACGTCACCCATGCCATGTGCACTAATGCCCCCTATACCATCATGAATACTGGCTTTTGAACTGTGCACTGATAACAAGCTGAGTGGTCTTTAGCCCAGAGGCCACAGTGTCCATGATTTCCAAAAAGAATTTCAAATGTTGATTCATCGGACCACAGGACACTTTTCCACTTCACCTCAGTCCATTTTAAATGAGCTCAGGCCCAGAGAAGGTGGCAGTGTTTCTGGATCCTGTTTATATTTGGTTTCTTCTTTGCGTTTTAGAGTTTTAACCTGCATTTGTGGATGCAGTGATGAACTGTTTTCACAGACAGTGTTTTTCAGAAGTGTTTCTGAGCTCATGCAGTGATTTCCATTACAGAATCATGTCTGTTTTTAATGCAGTGCTGCCTGAGGGCCCAAAGATCACGGCCAGCATATACTGTTTTTTGGCCTTGTCCCTCACATACAGAGATTTCTCCAGATTCTCTGAGTCTTTTAATGATATTCTGTACCGTAGATGATGAAAAGCAGAAGTTCTTTGCTATTTTATGTTGAGAAACGTTATTCTTGAATTGTTGCTCTATTTGATGGTGCAGTCTTTCACAGAGTGGTGAACCCTCCTCATCTTTACTTCTGAAAGACTCCGCCTCTCTGAGACGCTCTTTTAGACCCAATCATGTTACTGACCTGTTGCCAATCAACCACCAGGTGTTTTTTAGCATTACACAACTTTACCAGTCTTTTGTTGCCCCGTCCCAACCATTTTGGAACATGTTGTTGGCATCAAATTCAAAATGGGCAAATATTTTTCAAAAAACAATAAAATTTCTCAGTTTTAACATTTAACATGTTGTCTTTGTTCTATTTTCAATGAAATATAGGGTTTAAATGATTTGCACATCATTGCATTTTGTTTTTATTTACATTTTGCATTTTTTTGGAAATGGGGTTGTATATCGTCATATTGCCCAGCCCAGATGCTACGATGTTTGAAGTCATATATGACATCATCCCTGCCGTGTGGATGGCGTGGTTCGGTCAGCGCTATGTAGCAGAGTTTGAGTGAACTGCATTGATAAATGAAGACATACAGAGCTGTGGATGTCATGCATTAATTTATTACACAAAAATCTGCTGTGGATACAAGAGAAGACTTTAAGATGTAACATACTTCAAACGTCTCTGACCGCACCACACTACACCCACACACACGCGCGCACACACACCTGTACACACCTGTGTATATACACCTGGACTATATAACAGACAATAAAGAAGGAATGCAGTATCAGTTAAATTAAAGTCTTTCTGTAACTTCTCTTATAGACGCGCCGGTCAGTCTGCTGAAAATGGAGTGATGTGAGGCTGTGCAGGGTGCGAGTGGCTGATGGAGGTCAGTGTGAGGAAGCTGGTCAGATTTCTCTGAGTATCTTAACCATTGTATGTTGATACTGTTGCTATTGACTTGCTATGGAGGGCTTTAGGCGGAGCTCGGATCACGCGGTGGCCGCTTTCTTCTCCTTATACATGGCCATCATCTTCTTTATCTCCGCTATGGCCTTCCCCGGGTTCAGGCCCTGCGCACAAAGCAGAACAACATCCACAGGATTGTTATTAATGTTAAATATTATATTCATGTTTTAAAAATCTATTTCCTGTTTATACTTTTTTAAAAATGTATTTTAAATTCATTTAAATTATATTTAATTACGACTGCGCAGTGCATTCAAAGCCAGTTTCCACTGTAACACACTGTGAAATACTACAGCTCAGTTAATGAATATTAAAATTCCAGATATGTATTATAGTCATATTTATCTGCCAATCGAGCCAAATTATAAACTGAATCATTATGATGATGAAGACTCAACCACATTCTCAAGACTAGCTCAGTAACAGAAGGCTGAGCCAATATCATTAATTATTCATTTAGAATAAATAATAATAATAATAATAATAATAATAATAATAATGTTAATATTGTTATTGACATTACAATATCTTGACAATCAAATTATACAAATATTTGGAATTTCAATAATAAAATTCCAATAATTTTAAGCTACAAATAATGTTAGACGTAGAATTATTTTTTATTGATTTTATTAATCCTAATACAAACTTAAAAATATGGTTCTTTAAGGGTTCTCCAGTAAAGAAAATGGTTCTATAAAGAACTATGAACACTCAAAGCACCCCCTACTTCAGATTGATGGAGAATGTCTTATAGATTGCTCTATACAGAACCTTTTTGAAAAGGGTTCTACATAGCACCAAAAAGGGTTATTCTATTGGTACAAGCTTGACACTGTAACAATAGCAGAACCCTTTTTGGTGCTCTAGAACCATATACAACACATTCTCCATCAATGTGAAGAATCCACTGCAGTGAACCATTTAATCATGCAAATGGTTCTTTGAGTGTTCATGGTTCTACATAGAACCATTTTTTTTTTTTTACTAAAGAACCCTTGAAGAACCACCTTTTTAAATGTGTATTAGAATTACTGCAATCAATAAACCCTAATATTACTTGTACCTTAAAATTGTTGGAATTTTAACATTAAAATATCAAAATATTGTCAAAATATTATAATGTCAATTAAAATATTAACAATAATTATTAATAAATTCTTAGTGTACATTCTCGACTTGGCAAAGTTGACAAAGTACTTTTGTAAGTCGCTCTGGATAAGAGCATCTGCTAAATGCTGTAAGTGTAAAATGTAATGTAATGGTTCTTTATAGAACCATTTTCTTTACCAAGGAACCCATGATGAACCATTTTTTAAGTGTGTAGTAGAAAAGACCAGATACGTATTTGTCTTTTACCTTTTTTATTTTTATGCTTGTTATTAAAACGAGAGCCTTAATGGGGTCAGTAAAGTTGTAATGTTAGCCCCACCTTTGGGCAGGTCCTGGTGCAGTTCATGATGGTGTGACAGCGGTACAGAGAGAACGGGTCCTGCAGCTTGGCCAGCCTCTCCTCTGTGTACTCATCACGAGAGTCGATCATCCACCGATACGCCTGGAGGAACAGACACACCACGGTTCAGTTTAGGAGTTCGTTCAGGAAAACATGACGTTTTAACAGTAAATCGACTGGAACTCCACAGCCTCACAACCCAGCAGCTCCTGAACCCAGTTATTTTATTTAATATGTTACAAAACACTAAAATTGTCAGGCAGAACATTAAAACAGTTACACATAAGCGTAGACTTACTTGCATTAGGGCTGTCACTGTTATCTGAATAAAATCAATTACGCAAATTAAAATTAATTTAGTAAAATTTACATCCTCTGCGAATTGGATTAGTGATTAGTTTGTCAGGGTGTCCGCAGGTCATTATAAAGCCACGTTTAGCAGGCCGAAGAGGCTCCACAAGGGGGAGCTATTAGCCTGGCACTTGAGGAAACCCACACCAGAAGGAGCTCGCGTGCATACACGCTTGTAGTTAAAAATAAAATAAAATATTTGATGTTATGAATGATGTATTCTGATTGAAACTGTTCTGTCACGACCGATACACAAGCGTGCCGCGAATAAGTGCCGATAACGCAACGTGCAAACAGTGCAAACCTTACTAACATTCTCACGCTTAGCTAAGTGTCTCAGTCAACGGTGTTTCAATCATGTTTCATCGTGTACGGGACGCGTGTATGAGACAAATGACTTTAAAATTTGACAGCTGAAGTTGGCTTCTTATTCGAATTTCCCGTTCCACCTTAAATAGTGCAACAGTTACATTCAGATGCCTGTACAGGTCAGAATGTAGCTGCTGCTCCATTTAAGGTGGAACGCAAAAATCTAACAAAAGGCAAATAAGAAGCCAAGTCCTGCGTCAGAAAGCAGTACTGACAGGTTTATCCACAAACTGTTCAGTTTTGTTTTTAGAATTTCTTTGGTAGTTAAAAACTGTTCTTATTGAAAAATGAAGGGACATTCAACAATAATCAGCCACTATTAGCCTATATAAATAGGTTTACTTAAGCATTTAAGATGGTTTTATTTGAAAAAATTCACATACACTGTGATACTCAAACCATTAGAAATTCAAACCGCGTATATATTTTGCCCATACGGCTCAATTCTACAACAAACAAAGTAAACAATAGTCCACTTGAATATCTGTTACATTCTACATCTCCAAATGTCCCTGTTTAATCAGTAGAGCTGGCCTAAGTAGGTTTAAACTCTAAGGCTACGTTCACGTTATCAGGCTGAAGTGGCACAAATGTGACTCAGATCTGATGTTTTCAGAGCTGTGTGAACACGCAAATCTGATCTTTTCAAATCCGACCTGAGCCACTTCATCTACGTTCACATTACAAGCCTCGTTGCTCAAATACGATTTTTTGCTCAAATCTGATCTCTCTGACAAGATGGTTCACACTCGTTTAGGATTTGTATCCGATCTAGGACCACATATGAAAGTGCCTCAAGTTGGATTTGAAAAGATCAGATTTGTGTCCACACAGCCCTGAAAGCATCCGATCTGAGTCACATTAGGGCAGAAAATCAGATTTGTGCCACTTGAACCTGGTAACGTGAATGTAGCCTTACATATGTGGTCCTAGATCGGATACATATCTGATTCATGGCCATGCGACCTTAATGTGACGCTCAGATCGGAATTCATTTGCTTTTTCCCCACTGCGCCATCATTCAGCGTTACCATGGCAGCAGCGCCGGACAGAAGTTAAAGCCTGTAAACGGTGGAAAAGCAGCTCATCTCACCTTTTTCTCCTTCGTCTCGCTCTAATAATGAAGCTGAGAGCTGATCAGAGTTAATGATCTTCTCAGCGAAGCTCGTTCTGCTCGTTAGTTTGTGCTGATGATGCACGTGATTCATTCAGGTGACGTTACTGAGTAGGATGAGCTCATGAGGGTCATTTCAGGACGCCGGTTCGTCACATTAATGACAGATTTGAGTCACTTAGCTAAACGAGTGTGAACCATCGAGTCAGAGAGATCGGATTTGAGCAACGAGGCTTGTAATGTGAACGTAGCCTAAGTGGGAAGTGAACACCACTGCTAGTTAATACAGTTGATAATGACAGCCCTAATTTGCATAATAAAATGTCCTGGTGTGTTAGACGAGTCTCTCTCTCACCTGCATGAGGACGGCAGGTCCCAGGTATTTGTCGCCGTTCCACCAGTAGCTCGGGCAGCTGGTACTGCAGCACGCACACAGGATGCACTCGTACAGACCGTCCTAACGAAAAAACACACTCAGCTAAACCTTCAGCGCTATAATACTGTAAAAACAGAGCTCATACTGAAGGCAGAGGCAGGAGCGACTCTATCAACTGCCCGGTGTTCCTGACCACAACCTTTAAGAGTCAGAGATTGTAGCCTGAGTGGCTCGCTTCACCATTAATATTCACCATTAATAACAAAACAACTGCGTGGAGGGGCAGGAATCGCAGCAAAAAAGCTTTGTGGTATGTCAGCATGCTTATAATTGTAAATACAACATACAGTCGTATGCAAAAGTGTGTGCACCCCCTGGCCAAATGACGTTTTCTAATAATAATAATAATAATTTTATTTGATAAGTGCCTTTCAAGACACCAGATTTGTTGATCTTCTAAGTGAAACGATGAGAACAGTGCAATATTTACAAAGTTCTCATCACTTGAGCACTTTATCACTATTCACCAGTGTCAAGTTTACAAGTTTTCCTGTTACACTGTGCAATAATACTATCACTGAGAACAAACGTGCAATATTTTTTCTATATAATGTCCAATATATACTTTTTCCCCTCTATTTGTATGGTTTTTATGTATGTCTATGCTGTCTAGTATGTCTATGTGGAGTTGCCTTTATGTTATTAATGTATATTTTGCACATCGGAGTTGGAGAAACGCGATGTTGTTCAGCTGTGCGCTCCTTGTTGTTTAGTCGGAACGACACTGTGACTTTGAAAAATAAGTTGACATCCTCTCCGCACTTAAATCTGAAATTTAGTGCACAATTTACATCTATATGGTGAGTTTAACATAATGGAAAAAATATAAAACAAGATGTAAAATGTGTCTTTGCTGTATTTTTTCCCCAGAATATTAAATTTAGCAAATAAACAGTATTTGTGCATTAAAATGTGCAGAAGTGTCTTCTCTGTAGAGGATGTGTTCAAATCAAATCATATTTATTGTCATCGTCGTAGCCCCCTTGAAGTACTTAAATACAAAAAATATTTTTATATATATATTTTTTTACATACATTTTTTTAAAAATATACGCCCATTAGCCTCTAAACATACACATTAATATAAACCATTATTACACCATTTCCAAGGTACAGTTTTGGTACAGTAATATAAGTTATGATATGTACAGTTGTACACATTTCCATTCATGCAGTGAGTCTGAGGTAGATAAATGAGATCCAGGGTAAACAGCATATGGAACACTGATCTATATATATTCCAGATTATACAAGATATGGATAGAAGATGTACAATCTGTATGCGCAGGTATAGATTAGCTAGACTGAAGTCACAGTAAGATCACAGTGAGTCTGTCTGAGGTGTGGATGACGTGTTCACCTATTTACACTTAGAAATTCAACGACATGTAATCTGACAGAGACCTTCGCACATAACTGTGTGTCTTTAATTGTATTACTCTAATTATCTGGACTGAAACAGTGCAGCAGGGCAGCGTGTGGTGGATCATGTACCAGTTTCTGTCGGTCCTCTACGCTCTGCAGGTACTGCTCCTTCCCCTGCTTACTCTCATCCTTCTTCTTCAGGTAGGGCTCGATGGCTCTGTACTGCGCATAGAAGTTACTCATGTCCTGAAGGAGACAGACGTCATAGCTCATTATATCATCTGGACATGGCTGCTGTGAAGTCAATAGAACTGATGTTTCACATATTCATTTTATTATAATAGTTTTTTCCCTATTTTAAGTTTTATTATTTACTGATTACCCGTTTTAAGGTTAGGGAACCAGGCCTGTGACCGGAAGGTCGCATGTTCGATCCCCTGAGCTGACAGTACGTGACTGAGGTGCCCTTGAGCAAAACATCTAACACCCAACTGCTCCCCAGGCGCTGTGGATAGGGCTGCCCACCGCTCCGGGCAAGCGTGCTCACTGCCCCCTATTGTGTGTGCGCTCACTAGTGTGTATGTGGTGTTTCACTGCACGGATGGGTTAAATTTCCCCATTGTGGGACTAATAATGGTCACTTAATCTTAATCTTAATCTTTTCCTCCCTTCTGACATTTATATGTTTATAGATCACAGTAAACGACCTCAGCCTCGCCACGAGCACTTCAACATACAAGTGTCCTTCACATGCTTAAAAGTCATTACTATATCTGTCCCTGTGTAGCACCTGTTTAACTCTATTAGTGTATCTGTAACTCTCAAAACAAGGAATGATTGATATCATATAATATGTATTAGGGACGTCCTGATCTAAATCAGTTTTATTGATATCTGCCAATACCAAGTCCAATCTAATATATATCTCGCTGCTGTCGGAACAAAACCTCATATGACCTCCAAAATGGTAACTTTACAGGAGAAGGAAAAAACATACTTGACTATTAATGTAAGTCAATGGAACCAGACGTTTTGTCCAAGTAACTTAGGGCTGTTTCTTTAGTCCATTCATCATGGAATTTACACACAACGTAAAAGGCAACAGGTATTTTCAAATTTTGTCAAAAACTGAAAAATGACAAAAATGGAGATGAGGTCTTATATGATGAACAGGGCTGGGCAAAATGTAATATGACAATATGATTTATTAGCACTACAGTGATATATTACCTCTCAGTGCATGTTTTCCTGAGAAAATTATGGGTTCTAATCCTGTCTAATCCTGTTTAATTAGAAATGTTGAATGAACAAAAATTGTTTTACAGTATTTTTATAATGTGGCATTACTTTTTTCATGTATCATGAAAATGTCCAAGTAAGATGATACATTTATGCAATATTGTGAACCACTAAATAACAATAATAATCTTTATTCATAAAGCACCTTTCATACATTAAAAATGCAGCTCAAACTGCTTTACAATACAAAATAAAAAAGTAAAAACAACAGAGAATAAAAGTAATCAATAAATAAAATAAACCAATAATAATAAATGCAACGAATAAAAGCAATATCAGAGAAAGAGATATATTCATATTTACCATTAAAATGCAAAACAAGGTAAACAATAAAAACTAGTTTAGTGCTAAAGTGAAAACACTGACCGAAGGAGTCTGACGGATGTTTATCGGTAATGTGTTCCAGATCTTTGGTGCAAAAAAACAGAACCTCTCTGCTCTTTTTAAGCTTCGTATGCGGAACATGGAGAAGCAGCACTAGAAGATCTTAAAGCTCGATTTGGAACATCATCTATCGCTCTCAGTGTATGAAATGTATGGAGGTGCTGAACCATTAAGAGATTTAAAACTAGTGGTAAAATTTATGCATTTTAAAAGCTCTACTTTCGTATTTCAGGTTTGTCTAAAGTACAGAACGCCCTTTTCCCTCCGCTCTCAGTGTGCGGTTACTCTTATCACTGACTGTGTAAATGGGTAACAGAGTGTAAGGCCCAGTCCCATTTCTTATTTTTACTCCTGCCCCTTATTTTGAGGGTCACTTTGCCCCTTGTTACTGAGTTACAGGGTAGTGGTTGAAATCTTCCTCTGAAATGGGACCCTCAAATAAAAACAGCATCACTTCATTAACAGCTACCAGCGCTGCTCTGTAGGCGACCCTGCCAGTCTGCAGTGACAGCAGAGGAGGGTAAAGTTCAGCTCCTCACTGCTGGGCATTTAAGCATTTAAAATCGCTAGTAGTGCTGATGTCTCGGTAGCTAAATGTCCCTTTCCACCTTAAATGGAGCAGCTGTTCTGAGGCCTGAGGTGCCAGAATGTAACTGCTGCACTATTTAAGGTGGAATGGGAAATTTAGCTACCGAGACGTCAGCACTACTAGCGATTTTAAATGCTTGTTATGAAGAAAAGGACAAAAATACACTGAAACAACATTAAACTAAGATAATGCGATGGTTATCGTAATTTATGAACAGAGAAAATTCTCACATTTGCGGTTTCTTTGGTCTCTTGTTCTCCATCTTGCTGGTTTTTCTTTTTTTCTCATAACTCTCTGTTTGGAGTCTCTGAAAAACCTCTGTTTGGAGGGTCATGTAGCCCCAACACTTCACCCTCCCCCTCTATCTCAACAAGAATCAGGACACCCCACCCCTAGACGAGAACGCGCAAAACGGAGGGGTAGGGCTGATTGGTAGGGGCGAGGAGTGAAAGGGGTTTGGGCCTTAGATTTAGATTTAGACCAGTGATGCACAATGATATCAGAATTAGAGATGGGCAATTTGATGATATTTTATTGTTATTGTGATAAATGATGTCACGATAATATTGTGGATATCGTCACCATTTAAAAAACATGTTTAATTACCAAGTGAGCTTAATTAAGCTTGATAATGTGGATTTAGTGCAGCGCAGTTTATAAAACATGTGAGATAGGATTGGGCCTAATAGTGTGACTGCTGTGGTGAACGGTCAGTGTTAGATACTCACCGGTACCAGGTCTTTTACCACGTACATGTGTGGAAGCGGGTAAATCTTGGTCGCTTTGCTGAGGTTGGTGTCAATTCTGTTCAGACAGGCCAGCGTGTTCCCACCGTTAATGTTCATCGCACACGAACCACAGATACCTAAAACACACACACACACACACACACACACACAGTTATTATTACCGTTAACACTTACAAGTAGGACTATCAATGCTAACAAATACCTGTAAAAACATCAGAATCCTATCAACACTTATTATACTTTTATCATAATCTTATTTTTAAACTACGAACATCACCAATGCTAACTCTGGATTTATCTACATAGCGCAGCCACAAATATGGGCCAAAATTTACTCTTCTATTATGCAAAGTGACTGCAATTTGACCAAATATCAAATTTACACAATCACCTATATCCCTGATAGACTCGATTATGTGGTTTCTGACACTGTATGACTCACTGTGATCTGTAAACATGGACTGAATTGCGTTAGCATAGCTAAAAACAGTAGCAGCCAAACTGGAAGTCTGAATTTTGTCTGCCTTTTGTTCATCTTTATAGACATCTTTATAGAGTTAGCTCCGTGCTGATTTGGTGGGTGTAGGCTTCCCTTATCGGTTAGCTACATTAGCCATTAGCTTGGTAGCTTTAGTGCTAAAACTAAAGAAGTAAACTTAAATCAATCAAACACGTCTTGGCTGAGTGACTACATTCGGGGTACATGATGGGGGGGGGCGGTGTTATTTGTTCTTTTTTTTTCAAAACCATCACTTTAAAGGTTTGTCCGCTCCTCTGCTCGTCAGTTTCTGACCTTCTCTGCAGGAGCGTCTGAAGGTGAGGGTCGAGTCCATTTCATTCTTGATTTTAATCAGAGCGTCCAGCACCATCGGCCCACAGCTGTGGACAGAGAGGAAACAGAAGAACTCAGATTAGAGAGTGAGACGACGTCTGAATTAGTGCATGAACCTATAATGTTCTAGACTCACTGTTCAGTTATTCAGTATCTACTATGAATTATTCAGTACCTTCTACGAATTATTCAGTATCTACTATGAATTATTCAGTATCTTCTACGAATTATTCAGTATCTTTTACGAATTATTCAGTATCTTTTATGAATTATTCAGTATCTTTTACGAATTATTCAGTACCTTCTACGAATTATTCCGTATCTTCTACGAATTATTCAGTATCTTCTACGAATTATTCAGTATCTTCTACGAATTATTCAGTATCTTCTACGAATTATTCCGTATCTACTACGAATTATTCAGTATCTTCTACGAACTATTCAGTACCTTCTACGAACTATTCAGTACCTTCTACGAATTATTCAGTACCTTCTACAAATTATTCCATATCTACTATGAATTATTCAGTATCTTCTATGAATTATTCAGTATCTTCTACGAATTATTCAGTATCTTCTACGAATTATTCAGTATCTTCTACGAATTATTCAGTATCTTCTACGAACTATTCAGTACCTTCTACGAATTATTCAGTACCTTCTACGAATTATTCCATATCTACTATGAATTATTCAGTATCTTCTACGAATTATTCAGTACCTTCTACGAATTATTCAGTACCTTCTACGAATTATTCAGTAACTACTATGAATTAGTATCTGCTCTGAAACGTGTTCTGTAGTTTTGAGAGTGAGGAATTTAGGACTGTAAGGGGTGTGTGAGTGTGTAAGTGTAAGGGGTCAACAGACATGGGCGAACAAGAACAGGGACAAAGGTTAGAGGGAGTGTAGACATTTTGTTTCAGACATCTGATCAGCTGGAACAGAGAAAAAAGAACCTACATTTAAAAAAAATAATCAAAAACTGTACTGACGATGAAAAAAGTACTGACGATACACACAATACATTCAGAAAAGCACATTCATACTGTATTGTGTCATCATTTATGATGATAACGATTTATATTGCCATGCTGCCCAGCCCTAAGAGAACCTCACAGTTAAAGTTTTTAATAACTATTTTTAAGAACACAGACACGCCTCTGTAAAATAAATAACAGATCTCAAATATTTACACTACAAAATCACTGAACAACAGGAGCAGAACCCGGTTACACCCTTCCTACAGAGCGACAACAGCTGATTAAAAAAAGGACACAAAGGGGGAAATGACTGGCAGACGGAGAGCTCACTGAAGCAGGAGGGAAACAGGAGTTATGAGTCGCTCACTCTGTCGGGACATCAGTTCACGTTTGTTAATATTAACTGCAAAGTCCGCAGTTTTATGAGTGTCCAAAGTAGAGCAATAAAAATTGCGACAGACGAGAATCTAACGGCCAATATAATGTTATATGGTTTAAACCGATAAGACTTTGTTGTTTTAACTATGATGGCATTTTCACAATTTAACTAATAAATATGTGGAACTGAAATCAGCAAACTTTAGCATTCAGATCCTGATCTACATATAGAGTGAGAGAGGGAGAGAGGGAGAGAGAGAGAGAGAGAGAGAGAGAGAGAGAGAGAGAGAGAGAGGGAGGGAGAGAGAGAGAGAGAGAGAGATTTTATCTCATTATCTGGGCACAGTCACAGGACCGAGATGGACCGTCTGTCCTTCCACCTGCCCAAATCTCCACATGGAACAAGGCCACATGAGCTCTTAAGCATCTAAAGCTCAATTCCACAATGTGGTAAACAATTCAGTACTGTAAATACTTCAGTTCCATACTTAAATATTAGTTCTTTGTTTCAATAAGATTGCAGCAGGTCCAATTTTGACTACACTCGTCAAAATAAAGGTGTCAAATGCAGTTCTTTGGAGTGATGCCATAGAACAGGGGTGTCAAACTCAACTAAAAGGGCCATATTTAAAAATCTCAACAGATCTGTGGGCCAGCTGTGCGGTTATTTTAGTTTTACTTAACATTTTGCCCTGACCCCAACTGGACATTGTTCAAAATAGGCATTAAATACTTCAACAATTGAAAAATAATTTTAGATAAAAACTATTTGTTTTGTATGAAACAATATACCACATTAACTACAGATGTACTGTGCACATTATGTTGCAGTGCACGCTGGGGACTGTAGTGCAGCTCAGGGTGAAACGGGCTAATATTAATAGAACATGTAAATAACTTCGTGGGCATAACAGAGTTGTGCCACAGGCCTGACTTGTGTTTGATACAGGGGCCATAAAAGAACCAACTTTGCTTCTCTATAGAACCAAGAATGGTTCTTGACTCTTCATTCCCATTCAGCAAACAATCCATACTGCATTTGTTACATTAGACTATATTGTATTTCTTCATGTTGCTGTTAATGCAAACAGAATGAAAACATTGAAATTATCGAGCCACTTATTTGATTTATTCAGCATTTCAAGAGTTTTGCATTGATTAAAGGGCCAGTATTATGGGAAAAAACAAATTTGTCTCCTTTTTTAGAAATAAATGAGACGTACCCCAGACCATTTATGGCGATTCAGCTGCAAAAACAGCCGTTTTGAATCCTTTTTTTTTAAAGATGTCACAAAAACTGCAAATAGTCAATAAGAACACGGCTCTTTAACATACATCGATCTTAAAGACGGAGTAAACAAAGAAAAAACAGCCTGTTTAATAAAAAGGGACAAAAAGAGGTAAGAAAGTAATGTAAAGTCATGTAAAACAGTATTACTGCTTTTGGTACATTAAAAACAAATGTTTTGATGAGAAGGGTCTGGCTGCAGACATGCACTCTCAGCCTGACAAGCACCACCGGCCTATTGATGACGTCAGTGCTGCTCTGCCACCACAGTGTTTCTGTCGGTTTTATGAGGAAATACAGTGAATCACGAACTGCTGGGCAACAAGAGTTACAGTGAATGTATATTAACGCTGCCATACTGATAAGGAAATTAATATGGAAACAATATAAAACTTACCACGACGATAAAACATTGATGTCGGGTTTATTCGTTGAAAAAACAAACAGGCTACCCTGAAACTCATGAAAGCCAGGCTGAAGACGATCAGAACGGTTACCAAAAACTGTGATATTGATTAAAATAGAACTCATTAAGGATTCTAGGAGGTTGTGATGTACAGTCAACGTAGCACAGATTACGTCTGCTGTCTCGCCAACGTCGTCACAACCGCCTAGAAAGTTGTCAGACAACTTTCTGAGGAATTACATTTCAACGTTGTGACAATGTAGAAAAGCACCAAGCAGACGACGCTGTGGGCACCGAAACACGACGTGGTCACAGCGTGACTGTGTTTGTAGGGCTGTTAGGAATAAAACCTGATGGTTTTGCTTCCTAATGGGAACTGGCTTGATAGTTGCCGTTAGAGACCATTAGGAAACGATCAAATGTATCTGGAATCAGTCAAAACCCCTGATTAAATAATGTGAATCTTTTAAATTGTGATATCAACCCATCAGGAAAACACAGAACACTATTAGCCACTACTGAAAACCACCAGGAACCAACACTTTTAACGGGTTCTATGACTTTTTCTACAGGGAGGGACATTAAATGTAACTCTCTCGCCGTGTTATGGATGAAAAATGGATTAAGTGATGATGCTGCATCTGTCTGAGAGTGCCCGTCCGCAGCCAGACTCTATGGGTTTTGATTAGACATAAGGAGAAAGAAATAAAATAGGACAAAAATGTAGGATATGGGCCCTTAAAAAAAAGGGGAGGCACCTCAACTATAGAAAAATCTGAATATTTTAATATTTAATATTTTAATAATATTTTTCTGTGTTCAATTCAGTAAACATTGTGTTTTTATTTGTTGCCACAGTATTGCTTGCTATTGATGCTACACTTGGTTCCAGTACTGAAATGAATACTGATTTATTCCTGTATTCAGTAGTCTTGGTTTGTTGTTGCTTCATTAAAACTCGGTTGGAGCTCCGCGAAGGTTATACGAGGTGAAGCGGCTCTGCAGCAGTGATTACTGACGCCGCTCCTGGAGATTCAGCCCAATCTGTTCCACACCTGATCCAAATAATCAGCCTTCAGAAGAGCCTGACTACCTTCACCAGGTGTTTTAGGTTTGGCTGGAACAGGAAGACAGACCTGCTGGAGTCACACGCCTGTGAACTTTAAATACAGAACCAGAAATGCTAAAGGCAGCTGGCAGGACTCGTTTCTGAACTGCTGAGCTGTTTTCCCAGCCTTAAAGCGAAAGTTCGGCCACAAATCAAACCTGAACAGTTCAAGCAGCAGCTTATGTAGATGATCAGCCAAGACATGTTTGTTGTCTAAGTTTATGTCTTTCAAAACGGACACCAGTAGATCTCACAGCTCGTGAAGCCTGAGGTGTGTCCACATGTCCACACTTTGGCTCATTTTTAAGCATAACTGTATCTCACAGTGTCACAAACCTTCCATTACTCGTTAGCTACATTAAGCCGGGGTTACACTACACGATTTTAGCCCTGATTCTCAGTCTGGCTGAGTCTGAGCTGGTCGGCTCTAGTCTGCAGATTTTTGGGTCAGTCGGAGTCGACAGTTGGAGAGAGAGTCGAGTCGTGTTTGAGGGGCGCAGACTCAGATTTTTGGCCTCCTGACTGCGTTTCAGACCAGTTGCCGTAAATCAAACGTTTGATTTTTCTCAACCCGACTCTGAGCGTAAACTAGTAGACCTTTGGGTTCCCTTACAGACTATAAAAAGACTGGGTGTCTCACACTATCAGACTGGTTTCCTCAGATTTGTTTGGGCGACTGAAATCTTGGGGATCACAGACTAAACGATTAGGGGTCACACACAACTCAACTTTTAAGCTGCTGATGAACTGAACGGAGCTCACTGAACTCACACGTTAAGCAAAGGTGGAGCTGCTGCTGCTGTTTTCTCTGCCGTTTGCGCTGAAACAGTAAAGAAGCAGCTGGTAAACAAGTTTAATTGAGGATCATGGATTTAAAAATGTGGTCAGTTTGGTATTTTTAAATGTACCTAAACTCGATTGGGCCTTAAACTCAGCTTATTAAAAAGCTTCGCTCCACATGTGAGACTGTTCGCCATTTTTCTTTGTTTACTAGCTGTATTTTCTTCTTTCACACTCCCAGTTTTCATTGGCTGTTGCAGGAGTCCATTCAGATTGAGTCGTTGATCAGTTTACACTAGATTTCACTCAGAGTCGGGTCGAAATAATCAAACATGTTTGATAAACTCTGACTGGTCTGAAACGCGATCGGGAGGCCAAAAATCTGAGTCAGTTCCCCTCACACACGACTCGATTCTCTCTCCAACTGTTCACTCTGACTGACTAAGGATCCGCAGACTAGAGCCAACCAGCACAGACTCGGCCAGACTCAGAATCAGGGCTAAAATCAAGGGTAAAGTCGTGTAACGTAAACTGGTCAACGACTCAACCTGAACAGACTCTTCCAACAGCCAATGAAAACTGAGAGCGTGAAAGAAGAAAATACAGCTAGTAAACAAAGTAAAATTGTGAAAAGTCTCTCACGTGTGGAGCGAAGCTTTTTAATGAGCTGAGTTTAAGGCACAATCGAGTTTATGTACATTTAAAACTCTAAAAATACCAACTGATCACATTTTAAATCCATGATCCTCACTTAAACATGTTTACCTGCTGCTTCTTTACTGTTTCAGCGCAAACAGCAGAGAAAACAGTAGCAGCAGCTCATGTTTGTTTATTTGCGTCTCCTATTAACGGGAGAACACATAAGTTCTGTTTGGTTTAGCCTAATTGTTTATGTGTGATCCCCAATATTTCAGTCCCCCCCCAAAAATACAGCCTGGTGCCCAATCTTTTTATAACCTGTAAAGTTTTTAAAAGCCGTATGCTAAAACTAAAGAAGCTAAACTTCAGACACCAATAGAGGTTCGAAACTGCCTTGGCTGATCGACTACATTTGGGGTGAGGGTGGAAAGACCGGGTAAATTAGATTTTTGGCCAAACTATCACTTTAATTACGTCCTACCGGCGTGGAGAGGCACTCACGTGTTGAGGTCGACCTCATAGGTCTGCATGTGGGGTTTGTCTCCGGGTCTATCTGGGTCCCAGCGGTAAATCTGGAACTTCTTAATCTGCGGCTGGACGGCCGGAGCCGCAGCGGTCTGCACATACCGCAAGGCCTGCGAGAGCAACGAGAAAATAAACAACAGTAAACAAACGAGGAACGTCTAAAGCAGGACAGAGCCGAGCCCTGCCTAACAGGCAACAACAAAACCGCTTCTCTCCAAAACACAATCAACTCTCATCTGCGCCGAGAATGAGGAAAGAACACAGCAGTGAAGCTCATCGACGTTAAAACATCGCAAACGAGTGAGAAACACTGCGACCTGGACCGCATTACTTCATAACCTCCGTCATTAGGAAGGTTTTGCTTACACTGGGATAAGAACTGTCATTACAAAGGCAGATTAGGCCTAAACAGTGACTGTGGACAGCATCAAAAAGGCAGCGATGGCGATAGACCTGTTCTGAAGATGCCTAAATAAGGAATTCAAAGTCTTTCCCGTTTTCTTTATTTCACTTATAATGAATGTTGGTTTCAAAATAACTGCCAGATCAATCTGTGGTAAATAAAAGTGTTCAAAAGCTGACAGGATTCATCCATTTTCTCCCTGAATGTCATTGGATCAAAGGGGTCAAGCCTATAAATATAACTACATGCTACTTTTACACTGTTCTAAATCAACCGCCAAAGCATCTTCACCACCACACCGGACAAAGCTGCTGGTTTGTGTGGGCTATTTTGGTGAGGTCAGTCTTATGATGTCGAGTCAGTGTGCAGCAGTGGTGGCTCGCGTGTAACAATATCCATATTTCTATAATGACCTCGTAAACGAGATGTAAACTGGGCACAACACTGGCTGCGTTGGCCGTCCTGGGAGGACGCAGCCACTGATGTAACTGCCTGGAAATCTTTAACAGCCCTGGATTCAATACATTAAAAACACTGGCACTCCAGCTCTCTCTGCTGGCCCTGAGGTCAGTTTACTCCCTCTGTCTACTCATTTAATAACGTTAACTCACTGCATAGACGTCGTGATTAAAACAATAACTTAATAAAGTTGTTTTCAGCCAAACAATCCGCTCAGCATCGGCTTTTCAGGCTCAGTTGTGGAGTCACGCTGATTATTATTCAGTGAGACTAGCTCATTTTACCAACTATGACTGTAACGACTCGCAAACAGGTAAAACAGGTGTGTTTGGAAGCCACACAGGTTTACCACACTGTCCGATCCACAGCAGACGGGTTTTAAAGTTTATCTGAGACTTTGGAGATGAGTAGAAACCAACGTCACTGTATGGGGTGTATGTTAAAAGTCACACAGGCTCACCTCTTGACCAAAATATGAAAACACATGCTGAAAAGTCGCTAGCAACGGTTTCTAAGCAGTGATTGGAGGGCTGAAGAAAATGGGGTGGGTCTTGAGATCAATCTGAGTGGTCAGTTCCAGATGATGATGGTCTAGTCGCGCCCATCCTGTGGTACAGCAAGCGGCTTGTGTCGTATACTGGATAGAGCAGCATGCAGTATACAGTACACACTGATCAGGCATAACATGATGACCACCTCCTTGTTTCTACGCTCATTGTCCATTTTATCAGCTCCACTTACTATATAGGTGCACTTTGTAGTTCTACAGTTACAGACTGTAGTCCATCTGTTTCTCTGATACTTTGTTAGCCCCCTTTTACCCTCTTCTTCAGTGGTCAGGACCCCCATGGACCAGGCAGTTCAAGGCCAGGCTATGCGGTGAAAAACACCGGACTCTCTGCCAATAGCTTGACTGGACAAAACTACCAGCTTTGGAACATTTTTGTTGACCACAACTTGCTAACATAGCAATTTTTATAAATGCCATTCATTTTTTTTTCTATAGAGAAGTGTGGAAATAAGAGAGTTCCTTATGTGGACACGGCAGATGACCTCAGAGGTCTGTTGCTGCATTCGTGACCAAGTGTGAACTGGGAAATTTCCAGTTTCTGCCTAAGAAAAATCCATTTGAATGGCCAGCTAACTCAGAACTCCCATGTATTTTGGGTTTAATATAAATAATGTTTTACGTATATTTTTTATATGATACACTGTACTGCTAAACACAGAGAGGCATTTGGATAACAGTAAGCTTAAGTCATTCTGTGCAAGATTTATAATCAAAATACGTGCTTAAGTGGCAGCACTACACCCTTAAGCTTACATCACACAATTCAAATTAACCAAACTACACACTACAAAAGATGGTTCTTCCAGGGTTCTTCGTTAAAGACAAAGGATCAATTTAGAAGAATATGTTCTATATAGAAACACTCCATGCTTAAATGCTTATTTGTATGGTGAGATGGTTCTTCAAATTGATGGAGAATGTGTAATATATAACATATATAACACTCTCCATTAATCTGATGAACCAGAACCATTTATGCATGAAATGATTCTATAAACGCCTTTCCTAAAGATCTCTTGAAGAACCATCTTATTTTAGAGAGTATGTCTATGGTTTCTTGATCTTATGACAAATTGTCATGGTTAAACTCAGAAATGTAGGTAAGCAGTGAACAAAAGCAAAAACTAAACTAGAACCAGAAGCTCCAGCACGGCCTGGAAGGTCAGAGGATGAGGGTAGAGGCGGGCAATACGACAGTATTTATCTTTATTGTGATAAATCCATCACAATACGCCTTCTGAGCATATTTTGGAGATCATCAGTAATTAGAAACGCCTCCCAACTGCATGTTAGACATCATTAGTCCCATTTAAGTAGATTTTTAGAGCAAAATGTTGAACTCAAATGACTCAATTCATAGTCTTTGATATATTCCCTTTAAGATGTGGTGCTAACTTTGTCTGTTGTAACATCACATCAGAAAAAAATAAATATCGAGACATATCCTGTTCTGTTAAAAATCTATTTTAAGTATCGTGATATAAGACTCTGCCATATCGCCCAGCCCTATATGAGGGTGCTGTTTACATGCTGCTCGAGCTGTCATCCTACACCACATTACATATGAGAGGTTACATCACCTCAGCTTTCATAACTCACGGTCATCATTATCAGCTTAATAAAGACACATCCAGCCATTCGTGCTGCGGCCGGTCAAACACAGTTTAAGGGGGACCCGTTTTCAGTTTTGCTGTCAAACTCTGTCACCTCAGAGCTGAGCGGATAGAGGTCAGGGCTCCACGCTCACTGTCCGGCTAAAATAAAGGCTATTCTAAACAACATTCTGGGTTATACGAGCTTAAAAAACGTAGAAATCGTAAAGCTCAGATCTGAAACCTGTTTACAGCCGAGAGTCTCCAGCAAAGCCTCCTCAATCTCCGCTCTGCGACCGCAGGGAGGTTGAGTAGCTACGTGACCTGGCTAGGCTAAGCTAAGCTAAGCTAAGCTAACAGGCTAAAGTCCTCAGTAACAGAGAGAAAACGCGCCGTGGCGGTTTTATATCATCGGTGTCCGGATTTAAAGCCGTAGCCGGTGTGTGATGAGAGTGCCGGGGGTGTAAATCTCACCAGGAGGCCGGTGGAGGAGCGGAGAGCCGCAGCGCCCTGCCGAGCCGAACAAACACACAGCGCCGCCATCACTGACTTACTGACTGACTGACTGTACAGCGCTGTCCGCCACCGGCCCATCAGCCACTGCGGCTGCGCGCTGAGTATCGGTAGTTTGGGTTTGTTATTGTTTTACAGTGATATCGTTTTATTGGTTGTTTTTTCATTTCTTATTTGCAGACGTGATAAGATAGATAAGATATACACACATATATAAAGTTAGAGTAATTACAAATCACAAATATTATTCTGTTTTATTCCATTCTATCTCTTCTCAGACATATAATATACAGTAATATAATAGAATAGAATAGAATAATAATCACTCTAGCTTTACATATAATAACATATCTCTAACATATAATATAAAATAAAATAATAGAATAGAATTTAATAGAATAATAATCACTCTAGCTTAACATATAATAACATATCTTTAACATAATATAAAATAAAATAATATAATAGAATTTAATAGAATAATAATCACTCTAGCTTTACATATAATAACATATCTCTAACATATAATATAAAATAAAATAATATGATAGAATTTAATAGAATAATAATCACTCTTGCTTAACATAATATTTCTAACATATAATATAAAATAAAATAATATGATAGAATTTAATAGAATAATAATCACTCTAGCTTAACATATAATAACATATCTCTAACATATAATATATAATAGAACTGAAACGAATATTTGTATAGACATTCATATCTACATATGCCAAGACATTCACACATCTCTCATATTTGCTCTCATTCTCCAATACGTTCTTAAGTCTGTTCTTAAGTGTGTTCTTGAGAAAGGTCCTAAGAGAAAGTCTCCGTCAGATTCATGACGTGTTCCTAAAGCGCAGAACTGTTCTCAGCTTTGTGCTCTTGGGTTGGAATAACAGGAATATCCAATTTAAGAATAAATCTCTTTTTTTTTTTAAATGGTTTGATAATAATATTATATCAGTGAAACAACTTTTGAATGCTGATGGCTTTTTGTGGACATACAGTGAATGTCTTAATAAATTTGGAGAGCCAGTCACAACCAAAGAATGTGCTGTAGTTTTTGACGCTGTACCACAACAAACGTTACAGCTTCTTAAGGGTTCAGCAAATAGTGATGTAAATAGGGATGGTCTTCTTATTGGGGTCACTGATATCCTTAAATATAAATGTACAAACAAATATATTAGGAATGTAATATCTAATGAAAGAATTTATAAACAACCATGTTGGTCTTTTGTATTTGGGAACATAAATTAGAGTGAAACATGGACAATTTGTGATGAATATTGTATGAATAATAAAGGAAGTTACGTTTAAAATTTTACACAAAATCTACCCAGTTAAAAGTGTTTTAGAGAGACTTAAAATTATTAATGAATATCCTGCACCTTTTGTGGTTTGGAAAAGGAATCAGTTATCCATCTGTTTTACCAACTTACTTATACTGAAGTGTTTTGGATTGATGTGGAAAACTTTGTGAGGAGAAAGCCTGGACACTGTATCACACTGGATGTTTCAGATGTTATTGTTTATTCTTCTATGGACAGATTAGATGTTAAAGTATTTATTTTTGTACAATACTTAATTGTTATGGGTGAATGTTATTTACATAAGAAGAGATGGTCTGATTATAATTAATTATTATTATATTTCCTCAGTGAGTTTAAGGAATGTGGCACTTCTTTAAAAAATTTTAAAAACAAGAAAGCAAAAAGGACTTTGATTATGATTTTTGAAATTTGATTATGATTTATTTAACCTCTAAGCACAAATCTGGCTGTTGGTTGTTGTCCATCCATCCATCATCTAAACCACTTATCCTTCTGGGTCGCGGTGGGGTGCTGGAGCCTATCCCAGCTGTCATTGGGCGGAAGGCAGGATACACCCTGGACAGGTCGCCAGTCCATCGCAGGGCTGTTGGTTGTTGTAAGTTATGTTATTGTATGAATCCTTTAATAAAGAAAAAAAACTTGGTGAATGTCAGAGTCTTCACAAAAACTGTGTAAGTGGGTTTAAGAAGAAGCTTCTTCTGCAGAACGGTTGGTGAATGAGGCCCAATATTCTCTCTCATTCTCTGTTCTGTTTCTTGTGTTCTTATTTGTCCATCTGTTAATAGTCTCTGTGTGTTAGATGTCGTACATGTGTGACTCACCAAGACCCATTCTTTGTGTGTGTAACGTCAAAATAAATGAAGTGATTCTGATTTTGACACTAATCTGCTTCTCCTTTGCTCGTGTCAGCATCCAGTTGGGAACTGCGCCATCTGCTGGTTACGTTCGCTTCATTTCTCCGTAGGAAAATGTTTGACAAGGGATTAAAAATCACTAAAGGAGAATATTCTGCCAAACAGTTATTTTGTGACCACACAAGCCATAAATACAAATCACAGCAGAATATTTTTTCTCAGTCTTTTAACTGTGAAAAATAATTGAACTTCAAATCCCATGACTCTTTGCTCTTTTGTTTTACTGTTCAACGTGACGGTCTTCATCGTTTTTCTAATAAACGTTGTTTTGTGTGTGTGATTGAACAAATACCAGCTTTATCTGCTCCATTTAGCTCCTGTTCTTATCAAAATATATATATATATATATATATATATATGTTTGTGTGTGTATATGTATGTATTATATGCATTATACGCATATATATGCACACCTATACATACATTATGTATTGTTACACATATATTATGTTAGTATAAAATAAAGAATACACAAAAGATAAGATAACACTATGTGTGTGAGTGTGTGTGAGTGTGTGTGTGTGTGTGTGTGTGTGTGTGTGTGTGTGTACATATTACAGTAGCTCTGCTAAGTATGGGTGTTACACTCCTATATATAAAGTTTGAGAGTTATAGTTAGTGTTGCAGTGTTATAATAACAGTAATCCACAGATGAGGTAGTTTACAGTTGCAGTATTGTTGCACAGTAATAAATAAATGCACCACTGCTGTGAAATACAGTATTATACAATTATTTATTTATTTATTTATTTATTTATACAATAGCGGGATGTTTTTAAATGGGTCACCTGGGATTTACCTAAGAACAAAGCCCTGATTGTTAGTCTGATAACTTGTTTTTCTTTTTCTTTGTTTATTTGCATAATAGAAAATTGCATAACTCGAGTTGCACTTGCATAATATTGATCTCCGGATTCTGAACCAAAATCATTGAACATTAAATATTATTAAATCATTATTAATTTCTTACAACACTCAATGTTATGAATAATGAAACATATTTACGCAATTATTGTTTTTTCACTACTTATATCTTTTTAAACCTGCGAATGAATAAAGGCGATGACCTTCACGGGACTTTTACTGTTTCGCGCATGCGCAGTGCGAAGCGCAGTCACGTTGTCCGCAGTGGAGAGTAAGGTCAGACTCTCTCGGCCTGTTTACGGACTCTGTTACAGAACATCATGGTGTTTCTGACGTTACCCTGCTGGATACGGAGTCGAGGGCCTGACCGCTACTGGAAGGTGCAGGAGCTGCTGAAGAATGCGCGGGTGAGAGAGATTAATATTATATTTATACCAGAAAACAATAAAACATCAGCTTCGCATGACGGACCTCCACACACCAGCAGAACCAGCAGAACCAGGTCCAGAGTGGAGCTCATGGCTATAAACACGAGGCTGAAATTGGCTTCTTGTTCCAATTTTCCGTTCCACCTTAAATGCCGTGATAGCTGCAATCCTGAGCCTGCTCATGCGTCAGAATACAGCAGTTGCTGCTTCATTTAAGGTGGACCGGAAAGATCCATGAAGGAGCTGAGGAATAAGAAGCCACCTTTCAGCTCTTAGATATTAATACATGATGCAATAAAGACAAAAATATGTTCCTCACAGATTTAATCGCTCTTTCGTTGCAGTCAGGAGGCTGTAGGCGTTTCTCAGCCCTGGTTCTGTTTACCTGCTCCTAACACACCTGATACACCTAACCAGCTCATTACTGAGTTACAGTGGGTGTGTTAAAGCAGGAAAAGCTCTAAGATGTGCGTGGAGAGCTGCACTATATGACTATATATCGTTATCGTGATAAATTATGTCACAGTACAGTACAGTATGCTTTTCTGAGACATATCGTGTTCTATATCAATAATGTTGGAGCTTCTTAGTCCATTCAGCATCTACCTGCGTATGAACTGAAGTTCTTAGACTCCATTCTTGTCTTTTTGGATCTTCTCCAGTGTTCAGATTTAAAGAACAGGAGCTGAACCAACTCAGCAACATGAAATTAAACCCCAAAAAAAGGAATTAGGAGCTGAATTTTGATGACTGAAATGGAACAGAGGAAAAGACTGAGTAATTCCTTTAGTGCATTACAGTAGAAATAAAGTCTTATCATTTAAGTTTTGCTCAAATATAAATATGTAAATACGTCTGTCCAGGTTTAAATGAAAGCATATGGCTCTTTGTTATGTACGGTGTGTTTGTGGTATTCAGGCCGTGTTCACCCACTGCCGTATAAAGACAGCGGCTCCTCAGCAGTACACGGTAATCTAACCAGCCCTCTAAATACGTGTTGTTTCACGTTGGCAGCACTTCAGAGGCAGGAAGAACCGATGCTACAAGCTGGCGGTCCGGGCGGTCCGCAGGGCCTTCGTCTACGCAACAAAGGCGAGAAAAGCAAAGCGGCGCAACATGAGAACGGTGAGATAATATTAATATTAATAACTCTAATATTATTCTGATACACACGTTATTCATTTTTTGAAGTGCCTTGATCGCAATACTTATTTTTCAAATCTGCATTTCTGCTGTTTTCTCTCCTCCAGCTGTGGATTTCTCGCATAGCTGCAGCTTCGCGTGAGCACGGAATGAAATATCCTGTTCTAATGTACAATCTCGTACAAGTGAGTATTCTACACATTCAATTTGTAAATTGTAGCAATTACTGAATCATTCATAGTGGTTACTGAATAATTCACAGTAGATACTGAATAATTAATGATGGAGATTGAATACTTCATGATAGATACTGAATAATTCATAGTAGAAACTGAATAATTCATAGTAGTTACTGAATAATTCATAGTAGAAACTGAATAATTCATAGTAGAAACTGAATAATTCATAGTAGATATGGAATAATTCTTAGTAGATACTGAATAATTCACAGTAGATACTGAATAATTAATGATGGAGATTGAATACTTCATGATAGATACTGAATAATTCATAGTAGAAACTGAATAATTCATAGTAGAAACTGAATAATTCATAGTAGATATGGAATAATTCATAGTAGAAACTGAATAATTCATAGTAGATATGGAATAATTCTTAGTAGATACTGAATAATTCATAGTAGTTACTGAATAATTCATAGTAGTTACTGAATAATTCATAGTAGTCACTGAATAATTCATAGTAGAAACTGAATAATCCATAGCAGATACTGAAAAAAAAATTCATAGTAGATTATGATTCAAAGTAGTTTCTAAAAATTAGTTTTAAGATGAAGAACTCCGTTATAAGTCTAATTTCGTTTGCACAGACCCAGATTAAGTGTGAGTCTAGACTTAATGAGGTTTCAAAGGTGAACACCATTGACATTGCAGTTTAGTCCAAAATTAGATCCAATCTGTGTCCTCTGTGTGAACTGGGACCACTGAAGAAACCAGGAGTGGTTCTGCAAAAACATCCAAAGTACGGTTTACCTGTTACCTCGAATATAGATGATCAGCCAAGACGCGTTTCTGTCTGCAGTTTAGATTTGCGCTGGAGCTGCTGATGTAGACGTCTGTGTGTCTGTCTGTCCCACTCAGACTCATTTTCAGTGGCGAAGCTTCTGTTTCATTACTTGTATCACTAAGAAACGTCAGACACCAAACATGTCTTGACTGATCAGCTACGTTTGGGGTAAAGGGGGGCGGAGCAGGTGGGACACTGCGTAAATTAAATTTTTGCATTAATGAATGAATTTAAGTGACGTTAATTAGATATTAAGATGAGTTTTTGAATCTAAATTCCAGTGCAGCGTCCAGCTGAACCGGCGGATTTTGAGTGACCTGGCGATCACAGAGCCACGGACGTTTCAGGCTCTGGCGACGTTGGCGCGAGCGCGGCAGCAGGAGGGCCTGCAGGCGGCGCTGGGAGACGGGAAAGAGCCGCCGGGTGTCTTCTCACGCATCACACAGCTGCAGTGAACGACTCCCCCTCAACCAATCGCAGCGCACCTGTGCCGTTTCTCCACAGAGTCCCAGAGCAGCATGAGACCCTCTACAGTTACAGCAGAGTCCGGATTTACTGACCTGCAGAGTCCAGGTGTCCAGTTTTACTGACCTGCAGAGTTCAGACTGTAGTAGCCGGGTCTCTTCAGGTGTTTGGAAGAGTTTCACGGCTGCAGTGTGACGTTCGTTACATCGGCCTTTGCAGTGCTGTCGGCGCAGAAGGCTGCAATATGCAAATGAGCCCTCTAACCAATCATAATCTTTACTGTATGCTTTAAGGGTTCTTTAGCCAAGGAAATGGTTCTACATAGAACCATGAACCCTTTGCATGATAAAAGGTTCTTTGCATCATGAAAGGTTTCTTCAGATTGATGCATAATGTACTGTATTTGGTTCTGTATAGAACCTTTGTGAAAATGGTTCTTCTATCATTACGATGTCAAGCTTGTAAGAATAGAAAAACCCTTTTGGGTGCTATAGAGAACGCTTTTAAAAAAAGGTTCTATGTAGAACTGTCTATAGCACATTCATGCACATTTTCCATCAATCTGTAGAACTCTTTCATAATGCAAAGAACCTTTTAATCATGCAAAGTGTTCTTGGTTCTAAAGATCTCCAACTTTGTTTTATGATGCCTTACGTTAATGCTTGTAACGTTAAAGTAAGCTAAGGGTTCTTTAGTTAGGGGAATGGTTCTGTTTAGAACCTTGAGTTTGACCAATTTATGCTTAAATGTTTCTTTTTGTGGTGAAATGGTTCTTCAGACTGATGGAGAACAAGCTGTATATGGTTCTATATAGAAGCTTTGTGAAAATGGTTCTATCATTATGGTGTGAAACTTGTAACAATAGAAGGACCCTTTTCCAAAAGGTTCCATATAGAATCATCTATAGCACATTAATTTCCATAAATCTGTAGAACCATTTCATGATGCAGAGACCCTTTTCATCATGCAAAGGGTTCTTTGAGTGTTCTTGGTTCTACAGTTCTCCAACTTTATTATACGATGCCTTCTCTAAAAGAGTTTCTGTGCTTGTAACGTTAAAGTAAGCTACAGTCTTAAAGATGGTTCTTCAAGGGTTCTTTAGTTAGGGGAATGTTTTATAATGAAGCAATTCATGCTTAAATGGTTCTTCGCATGGTGAAAATGGTTCTTCATACTGATGGAGAATGCGCTGTATATGGTTCTATACAGCGCCAAAAAGGGTTCTTCTGTTGGTGTTATGATGTCAAGCTTGTAACAATAGCAGAACCCTTTTTGGTTCTATATAGAACCATATACAGCACATTCTCTGTCAGTCTGAAGCACCATTTCACCATGCAAAGAACCATTTAAGCGTGAAATGTTCTATATAGAACTTATGGTTCCGTTCCCTTTAGTAAAGAACCCTTGAAGAACCGTCTTTTTTGGGAATGTACCTCATCTGGCTGTTTGAGCAGTTTTCTCTCAGTCTGTTGTCGTGCAGGGCTGCAGCTGGATGTCTCTGGTTGCTGGTAGAGAATAAAATTGATCGTGTGGAACCGGAGATGAACAGAACACACAGACGTTCTCCACGTTGGAGTGCTGTGTCTGGATCAGCTTTGATTTTGCCAAATAATGGAGCAGGCCTGTGAAAGGAGAAGCCGGGGGTGGGGGTGTAAGAGGGGGGTACCTGTTTGTTTCGCGTGTGTCTGTATGTATATATATACAGTGAGTGTTTGTGCTGCTGTTTTTCCTGTTAATAAACCTTTTTCCTGTTTACTCTCCGCTTTAATGTGTGTTTTTGAACGGTAGCGGCTCATCAGATGGTGTGGAGACGCACGTTTGACTTATTATAGATATTATTGGAAAATAAAAGATATTATTTTCACTAAAAAAGTGCCTTTTAATAGAAACAGGAGGCCAAAACCCATCTTTTGGTTGCTGGTATTAAGGTTAACGTTGAGTTGGGCATTTTACATGATTGTTTTTTAAAAAACAGCAGGTCATTTTCAGCTCCTGCAGTCGTCTGGCTAATATATGATTCAAAAATAAAATATAAGTTGAATTGATATAGTTTCTCTCCTACCCAAGGTCGTACCTACTACATATATACTTAAATGGACAGTCCAGTGAAAATTAAAGATGTAATCGCTGCTACAGCCGTTCTAAAACGTGCCTCCTCACGCGTTACTAAGGCACTGCAGTGATCTCTAGAGAAAGATTTTCTAGTTTAAAGACAAGAAAAGCCCCCTCTGATGATGTATCTTGAAGGTGGGAGGAGTTTTTCAAAAACTACAGTCACACTGAGGTGCATTTGTGGACTGTTTGAATTCTTTCTCACTAGAAAGGTGACGTAAGAGGACACCAGATAGCTAATGTTAGTGCCAGGAAGGAGAACATAACATGAGCCTGTTGGTATCAGAACCTTTTTATCTCCATTTTAGCTGGTCATAATCTGAAAACACCAGCTGGCCTTCACTCTGAGAAACATTCATGATGAATGTACCAACAGAAACGGTCCAAACCTGCTTAGAATAAAACAGCGTGGCAATAAACGACACTGACCTTTGAGCATGTTTCTCCTTCTCTGTGAGGTTTTGGTCAGAAATGCTACACTCTTAAAAAAGAAGGTTCTTTGAGGGTTCTTTAGTAAAGAAATTTGATCTATATAGAACCATGAACACTCAAAGAACCCTTTACATGGTCAATTTTTTTTTATGAAACGGTTCTTAAGATCGATGAAAATGTGCATGCAAAAGGTTCTTGGTTCTAAAGACCTCCAACTTTGTTTTATGATGCCTTACGTTAATGCTTGTAACGTTAAAGTAAGCTAAGGGTTTCTTTAGTTAGGGGATTGGTTCTGTTTAGAACCTTGAGTTCGGTAGTGAACCAATTCATGCTTAAATTGAGCTGTATATGGTTCTATATATAACCTTTTTGAAAGGGGTTCTTCATAGCACCCAAAAGGGTTCTGCTATTGTTATGATGTCAAGCTTGTAACAATAGAACCACCTTTTCTGGCGCTATATGGAACCCTTTTCAATGAGGTTCTGTATAGAACCATAGCACATTCTCCATCAATCTGAAGAACCATTTCACGATGCAAAGAACCTTTAATCATGCAAAGGGTTCTTTGAGTGTTCATGGTTCTATACAGGACCCCACTCTTTACTAAAGAACCGGTAAAAGAGTGCAGTTTAGGCCCGGAAGCTCGTCTAACGGTTAAATGTGCGTCTTTGCGTTATTACCGGATGTTTTGTGTCTAAAATAAATGCTTTATTAAAACAAATCAAACGTTCAATATTAAATACAGCTCAGAAACTGTTCTAAAGGCGGTCATTATAGAACGCTTTAGCACCACAGGATGAAGAACCTTCATCCCGAGCAGCGCCTGGTAAACACGGTTTGGCCCACTGGAGCCGCCGTAACCGCGACTGGGCGGGACTTCAATATGACCTTTAGAGGACGCTTTACAGTCTGTCCCATTCAGGAGTGATGACCCCTAAACCCTAAACCCTAAACCCTACTTCCTCCTCACTTCAATCACAGGCTCTCAGGGTGATCATGGAAGATGCACGCTTTAAAAAGATGGTTCTTCAAGGGTTCTTTAGTAAAGGCAATGGATCTATTTAGAACCTTGAGTTCTGTATAGAACCATTTGCGTGCTTAAGTGGTTCTCTGCATGGTGAAGTTCTTGATTAATAGAGAATATAATGTATATGGTTCTATATAGCACTAAAAAGGGTTCTGCTATTGTTACAAGCTTGACATCGAAACAGCAGCAGAACCCTTCTTGGTGCTAAATAGAACCCTTTTCAACAAACACATCTACAGAACGTTCTCCATCAGTATGAAGAACACTTTTATGATGCAAAGAACCCTTTAATCGTGCAAAGGGTTCTTTGAGTGTTTATAATGCAACACAGAACCATTTTCTTTACCAAAGAACCCTTGAGGAACCATCCGTTTTAAGAGTGTAAGCTTGATATCGAAACAATAGCAGAACCCTTCTTGGTGCTATGTAGAACCATTTTCAAAAAGCTGCTATATAGAACCATATACAACACATTCTCCATCAATCTGAAGAGCCAAAGAACTATTTAAGCATGAAATGGTTCTACTTAGAACTTCCAAACAGGACCATTCCCTTTACTAAAGAACCATTAAAGAACCATCTTTTTAAGAGTGTATCTAACATCACCTTGCTGACCTTCTTCGGTGGCATTTTGGAAAAAATAAACATAAATAAAATCTTTTTCTTGTGTATTTCAATCCGACTACAAGTGCCCTAAGTAGGCCGCACTGCTGCCATTTGGCGCGCGCCCCGTTTGTCCCTCAGTCATCGCGAGACTTGGTTCAGCTCCGCAGCAGCGTGACTCGCACACGTGTGTCCGCAGCAGTAGTAACCGGCTCTCGGCTGCGGGTTCTCCGTCCGCCCTCTTCTCCAGAACCAGAACCATGTCGTGGCTGTTTGGTCTGAACCGCGGTCAGCCCGAGCCTCCTCCGGACCTGCCCGTGCCTCCACCGCCGCCGCCTCCGCCGGGGGGCTCGGGGGGCTCCGGGGGAGACAAACCCAAGGACAAGTGGAGCAACTTCGACCCCACCGGGCTGGAGCGGGCGGCCCAGGCGGCCAGAGAGCTCGACAAGTCCCGTAAGTGAGCGCGCACAGCACCGGCACACCGAGACTCACAACATAATCTCCTACAAATAGAGAGAATAGGAGACTTTGTTAAAGGCAGCGCTGGATGATGTAAGATCACCTTAATGCTGTCAGTGACAGTTTGGTCCATTTTTCGTATCGTCTTATGAATCTTATGAACATATAATGTCATAAAGTCCCTTTGAACCGTTTGAACATAAAAGCTTTTGGATAGTTTTGTTTATTTCTCTCCTCAGCAGGTAAACCGCACTCCAGCTCAGGTGCTTCAGCACTAGCCGTCACACAGCAAACAAGCTAATCAAGCTAATAGATGGTCAAAATGTGAAATATAGATATAAAATGTTTCTGTATATAAAGTATCAGCTTATTAGGTGTGCAGTCTGTTTAATTTTCTGTTCTGAAGCGTCCAACCTTTGTTTTAACGTTTAAAACGGCGAACTCCGTTTTCTGTTGGTGCATCATGGGAGTTGTAGTTTTTCGCGACGCCCACTCCAAGCAAGCTGCGTTCAAATGCTCCGCAACAGAAACTTAAAAGTTTAAAGTTTAAAAAAAGGAACTCAGAATTAAAAATGAACTTGTACTGAAATAGTTTATGCTGTTATTTGGTATAATCTTTATTTAAACGGACAAAATGACTAAATATGGATAATCGAGGTGGGTGGAGCACTTATTATATTTAAATAAGAGGTCCGGTGTTTACAGTAAAGACTTGGGTCTGCAGACTGTAGGAGGATTAACTGTTAATTAACTGTGTCTTGATGCACGTGGAGGCTTTCCTCGGTCACTCATTCTCAAGGGCAGTAGGTCAAAGTTCACAAAGTCTGTTTGATCCTGTTTGAACTCTTCCCGCTCTGTGTTAGTGTTCGGGAGGTTTGACTGCAGCGCTGCTTACTGATCATTATGATGTGGATTGATGGATGTTGTGACCTTTGAATCGCAGGTCATGCTAAAGAGGCGCTGGACCTGGCCCGCATGCAGGAGCAGACGGTTCAGATGGAGCATCAGAGTAAGATGAAGGTAAAATTGCTTGAAAATTGAGATGTAAACCTGTAATTTACTTCTCTGAATTTAAGAGAATTCATTTCACTCCAGAACGGAGGGAAAATATGCATCTAATCAGCGACATTGCTGTGCAGTTTTAATATGACAGTGTGACACCTGGTCCAGAAATTTTTTTTGTCTGTTTGTTTTAATAAAGAACGCTGTTGTTCTGTGTTCTAGTAGCATTAATGCTGCCTGTGATGTTCAGAAAGTGTGTTGTGATGCTCTTTATGATGATAATAGTACCGTGTTGCCATACAGCCCCCCCTTAAGCACAGGTGTGCAATGCAATAGTGGAAAATGACAGAATTCCTGTGCAGTTCCAGCTAGGGCTGGGTGATGTGGCCAAAAATTATCACGATAAAAAATGTAATATCAGTCGATACCGATACCTATCGCGATACATGTCAAATCATTATTTCTTTCAAGTGTAAAGGCTGATTTTTGCTCCTGAGTGGTCAGTTGCTGTTTTAAACTAACCTATATGGTCAGAACATGACAAACGTTTGCCAAACAGTGGAACGTTTCACAAATCTGTCATGGGACAGTGGGAGAAAGTTTCTGATTAGCTGTTTTTGCCAGCTGGAAAAACACGGCCACGATTTTTGTAATATTCATAAATTTAAGAAAGAAAACATTATTTTATCTGTCTGGTGACGAGAGTTGGGCTGTCTGTTTACGGGTGCTAAACTGTTTAGTTACTCAACAACGTCAGCTTAGTACGAACAGCAAACGTTAGCTGGCTCGGTAGGTCAGTGATGGATCACACCGCCTTACTGCCATCAGTCCTACCACATCCATGTCTGAGCACATCACAGTGTTCAGACAGCAGCCAGCGACGGCTGGGTTCTCTATTCTATCATAGTAGTTTGAGGGATGGAAGAACCGCAGTGTATCTGACGCTCGCTGTGTAAAAGCATTAACTGCAGTGTGATTCTCACACCAGACAAACAGAGCCTCCTTTTAGGTTCATTTAAACTGAAATCAGATGTTAGTAAAGAGGTGAGTTCACTGTAGGACAGTACAGTTACGCCACTGACCTCGTCACTCAGACTCGGTCACAGGAGAACAGATCGCCGGTCGCTTCACTCAAACAGGGAATACATTACTCCACGTTTCAGACGTTGCTAAAGTGTATTTGGCGACTAACTTCACTCCTCCCTCTCTAATTATGTCGAAAAACTCAGAATTACGCCCTCTCGTGGCGACAGCAGAGTAGTGTCGCTTCCCTTGCAGTAGAAAACGCCACCAGGGGTGTTGCTAGAACGTGGAAGTGTGAGAATGGTCTATTATATCGAACATTTATCGAACATTTCTTATATTTCTATCGATAAAAGTTGTATCGTGATAATTATCATTATCATTTTATCGCCCAGCCCTCGTTCCAGCACAGCGTCCGTGTGCTGTGTTCAGTCAGGGTGGTTTAGTAACCCGTGGACATGTTTGCTCTCAGGAGTACGAAGCAGCGCTGGAGCAGCTGAAAGGTGATCAGATCCGCATCCAGGCGGAGGAGAGGAGGAAAACGCTGAACGAGGAAACCAAACAGCATCAGGCGGTGAGAGAGACTGATTAACTCACTGCACTGATCACATCAGTTCTGTTTACACTCAGACAGGAAACTTCGCCTTTCATTCTGATCGGTCTGTGAGGGTGTTTCATTTGGCCTGTCAGAAAGTTAAACCTGCCCCCTCATCAAACGAGAGAACATCTGTTTATACTCTGTATAACTTATTTCTTTTTTTTTCCTTTTAAATTGAATTTTTGAAGTATTTTAATGCACCATAGTGTAAAGTAAAATAGTGAAACCTCCCTTCTTTTTTATTGTTTGTCTTTTTGGTCTTCGGCCCAGCACAGACATTGTGTTTTGGCCCCCCCAGAACAAAAGTTTGAGCACCCCTTGCTAAAGGGATTGAAAAACACACTGTGTGTGAACATGAGGGCTGTAGATATCTGACCTCACAATGATTCAGTTTTTGATTCTTATTTATTTTTTTTGAGAAACATCACATTTTTGGGGTAAAATATCCTTACAGTGTAAACATCTTAGCTTTTATTTATTTATAATCCTTTATATTGTTCATTTTTGTGACGGATAGAGTTTATATTTTTATCTTATTTTTTACTTTTAGTATTATATATATATATATATATATATATATATATATATATATATATATTGTCTATAAAGTAACAAGTAACGAACTGTAAAAACCTTGTTAAGTAATTATCACAGTAAATTCTCTTCTTGTTACTTTTCTTTTTCGTGAGTGCCTTGCTCTCCCTTTGCTGCTGTAGCACTAAGAATTTCCCCGTTTTCCAGTTTGATTTTATTTGTTTCTTTTGCTCTGATTGAGAATCATAGTTAAAAAAATATACTGAATCCTCAGATGTCACTGGAGGATCTATATACACAGCAGTGGAATACAGGCACTAATAACAATGCACACCAGATTATTGTTTGTAAGATGGGTTGAGACTTTTATTTTGACAAAAAAATGAGCGAATACTTTATTGATTGTTGTTATAACTGAATATGATCAAGTCTAATATTGCACAGTTTCGTTTGAATGCAGTTATATGTATATATAGGTGCAGATGTGTGTGCAGTGTTAGCATATTGAGCTTCCTCCTCTCTCCACACAGAGAGCTCAGTACCAGGATAAACTGGCCAGGCAGCGCTATGAGGACCAGCTACGGCAGCAGGTACTGACCCGCAGCATGACGTCTCCTTGTAGCGCAACTCATCCTATATTAAAGTACACTGAATATGCCAGTGATCAGAAGCTGTGTATTACAGTTATGGATAAGTTGATATAGAATTTGTGGGTTAATAAGAATAATGAATAATTACCACATTGTTTTGGGCAATATTAACACCAGAAACCAATTATCGTCTCTTTTGTTGTAATTTAAAACAAATTTACACTATAATCCATCTATTAAACGCAGTGAGCATTAGCGGGTTAAAGGGCTGCCGATCATAAATAACTGTGATCAGAGCTGTTAGACAGAGTAATCAGCCATACAGCTGTGATGCTGCTGTTTCCTTCAGATGTCTGTCTTCATCTTTTCAGCAAGCTCTTAATGAGGAGAACCTGCGGAGGCAGGAGGAGTCCGTGCAGAAGCAGGAGGCCATGAGGAAAGGTACGGCACACGAAGCTTCCTCCTCCACCACTGCAGAAAGCTCAGCTATAACCTGGCAACCTTTCAGTTTCAGTAAACGGGTAATGAATTGGATTAAGGGCAGATCTGTATATCAGGCGTGAGCTGCGCTGGGCTGAGAAATGACCACCACCTGAATAATATCTGGTCAGTAGTGGTCAGTGGTGGTCTTATGGTCATCTCTTTCCAGTGATGAATGTTGTAGAGAGTGATAAACTGTACAGTAGGGGTTGCACGACTTCAGATTTTTTTGAAGTCGACAGTTTTTATACTGATGATGTCATCAATAAAACCACAGAAGAAGGAATTTCTTTGCAACAAACGACTTTAAAAAAAAATCAAACTTTTAGAAACTGACGAAGCTAAACTTCACGTGAACTGGACTGCATTTCCAGCCTTCAGGGAGCCAGAGATACGGACCCCAGAGTCTCGCAAATTTGTACCCCACTTAAGCGCACTGTAGGCCTCCTTGCTGCACTGTAACTCGGTGAAAATAAGAGAAACCGACTTGAACCTTTACAGGATTACAGGGCGTTACCTTCTTTCCAACCACACAGGACGTTTTATTGTAGTCGTTGGGACGTCGGAGATAACAACATTCAGTGTCTGATCTTTGAGGCGCTCTGGATTGGTGGAGAAATGTTAGAACGAAGCCATACAGGTCAGTAGAGCATGATGTTCCCTTTCCAGCATCGCTAGTCTTCAGGAAACCAGAGATACGGCCCCCGAAATCACCAGGCTCCTCACCTGCTGTCGTCTCTGAGGCGTCCATGTTGTGTCATAATCGCGTGATCAGCGACTCGTCGACATCGATTAAAGCGCCATCGCCGAGCAGTGAAGTCGACTAGTCTGTGCTTCCCCTGCTGTACAGTAACAGATGAGCTACAGTCTGTAACTGTAAACCTACACAGTATAGCTGTATGGGAGGTGTTTCTCATAAAGTGGCCAGTGGGTGCAGCTGCAGGGTGGGTGAAGTGAGTAAACTAAAAACCAGTCCCATCTCACCCCTCGGCCCTACCACTCAGCCCTACCCCTCCGCTTTGCATGTTCACGTCTAGGGTTAGGGTGTCCCGATTCTTGTTGAGATAGAGGGGTGGGGCAAAGTGTTTGGGCTACAAACTGAGCTTTTTCAGAGACTCCAAACAGAGTTATAAGAAAAAAAACAGCAAGATGCTGAACGAGAGACCAAAGAAACCCACAAATGTGAGAATTTTCTCTCTTAAAAAATTACGATAACCATCATATTATCTTAGTTTAATGTCGTTTCAGTGTATTTTGGTCCTTTTTTTTCATAACAAGCATTTAAAATCACTAGTATTGTTGACGTCTCGGTAGCTAAATTTCCTGGCCCACCTTAAATGGTCCAGCAGTTACATTCTGGCTCCTCTGGCATCAGAACTGCTGCTCCATTTAAGGTGGAACGGGAAAATTTTAACAAGAATCTGGAGAATATCTGACTTCAGCTTCATATCACTGAAGAATTAGGGGTGGGCGATAATAAATAATTGCCCCCTCTTTGAAGATCATATGATGCCCTAAATGTAACTAAAGCCCAGCAGTGAGGAGCTGAACTTTACCCTCCTCTGCTGTCACTGCAGACTGGCAGGGTCGCCTACAGAGCAGCGCTGGTAGCTGTTAATGAAGTGATGCTCTTTTTATTTGAGGGTCCCATTTCAGAGGGACGATTTCAACCACTACCCTGTAACTCAGTTCCAAGGGGCAACACTCGAAAACAAGGGGTAGAGGAAATGGGACAGGGCCGAAGTGTATATATAGTGTATTATAATCAGTGTGATTGGTGATTATTAAGTGAGTTGTGAGTGATGTGATGTCTGACTGGTGCAGCCACCATCGAGCATGAGATGGAGCTGAGGCACAAGAATGAGATGATGCGGGTGGAGGCCGAGGCTAAAGCTCGAGCGCGGGTGGAGAGGGAGAACGCCGACATCATCCGGGAACAAATCCGCCTTAAAGCAGCGGAACACCGGCAGACGGTTCTGGAAAGTATACAGTACGGACATACGCCCTTATATACTCATCCTTACTCACTTTACTGTACTAAATACCTTACTGTACTAAAGCAGGAGTCTCGGTTTGAGACGGTGTCATACGGCATAGAGACGGGCGATATGGCTAAAAATATAATATCACAATACTTGAAGATTTTTATTGTTAATTTTTTTTTATTCATTTTTAAAAGTTATTTTTGAGGTTTGATAAGTTGAAGTGCCACATTTAGACAATACTATTAAAAGCTATTATACTACTAACAAACCTTTTTATTTAATATTTTACACACGCCGTACTGCATTAAATCCCTTTAAACAGGACTAATTATGCTCTTTTTAGTGAAGCATGCAGTCAGTCCTTTAGTACTGACAGTATCTACAATATGCTCAGAAAAGCATGTATAGCAATAACGATTATATAATCAAATATTGCCATTTTTATCATTTTTGAGTTTTTGACATAATCTGAAAATGTTGTCCTTTTGTCCTTCAGGACTGCTGGTGCCGTGTTTGGGGAGGGCTTCAAGGCTTTTATTTCAGACTGGGACAAAGTGACTGCGACGGTACGCGGCTCTTTCTATCAAACGCTACTTGACTGACAGTTTTAACAGGCTGGTTAACCTGCGCTGTCTCCTTCGCTCCACTAGGTGGCAGGGTTGACTCTGCTGGCTGTCGGTGTGTATTCTGCGCGGAATGCTACGGGCGTGGCAGCGCGGTACATCGAGGCTCGACTCGGTAAGCCGTCTCTGGTGAGAGAGACCTCGCGCATCACGGTGACGGAGGCCATCAAACACCCCATCAAGGTACACAAACATACACAGACTTGGGTTCTAACAGAGTAACAGCGCTACGTAATCAGGAGACACAAAACAGTGTTACATTACAGTTACAGTAAAAAGAGCCGTAATCAGGTCAAGGTATATTACAACAATAGTGGCTACTAGCAGGATTACATTAAAGGGGAACTCCACCGATTTTTCAAAATTTCTACATAATTAACTGGTTGACATGTAATCAGAGTCATTCAGAGTGGTTCTGTGTGAAACGCTTTGTTCTAGATAAACTTACCGAGTCAGAACTGTTCACAGTGGTGGTGATAGGAACCAGACGTCCACCTCTAAAAGCTCCCTCACAGAAAGTTCCTACATGAAATGCTTATGAATTCACTGCCTGATGACTGAGACACTGTTTTATGATCGTTTAGAGAACTTAATGGTTCATGGTGGAGGGATACATGCAGGGCGCTGTGAGGCAAAATAGTCCCCAAAGAAAACTTATTATTCCAGATTTTCCACTATTTTCCATCATCAACATTCCATATAGACTCAGAAGACTCGTGTAGGTTCACTGGTGGTTCTGGATAGTAAATAAAATGTCTATATTTGTGTTGTAGTCATGGCGACCCCTGGTTCCTATCACCACCACTGTAAAGACATCTGAACCATTTCACACCAAACCACTCTGAACCTCTCTGTTTGTATCTTGAATTATACAAACATTTAGAAAAATTGGTGTTTTAAAGGAATTCCCCTTTAAAGCCACTCCTGAACGCCAAACACTCCATCGATCACTGTTGTCATTGTTATTATTGCTATGCATGTAAAATATAAAGCATATCTGCATATCTCTCTCTCTCTCTCTCTCTCTCTCTCTCTCTCTCTCTCTCTCTCTCTCTCTCTCAGATGACCAGGAGGTTGATGAGTAAGCCTCAGGATGCGCTGGAGGGAGTTGTGCTCAGTGTGAGTGAGAACTGTTCCATAAAAATAGACCAAACCTTCTCTGTGTGATGAGCTGCACTGTTTGTGTTCTTCTGCATGGTAGACCTTTAGATGTTTATCGTGAGAGAAGTTCAAAAATAGATCTTTTTAAGATTTTTAGAGTCAGTATCAGCTCAGTATCGGCCGATCCAGCAAAGAAAGAACCTTTTAATTATGCAAACCTTTTAATATTGATGACTCTATATAGCCAAAAAGAGTTCTTCTATGTTACGATGTCAGGATTGATACAGTAGAAGAACCTTTTTTGGTGCTATGTAGAGCTCTTTTGGAAAAGGTTCCATATAGAACCATCTACAGCACATTCTCCATCAGTCTGAAGAACCACTTCACCATGCAAAGAACCCTTTAATCATGCAAAGGGTTTTTTGAATGTTCATTGTTCTATATAGAACCATTTCCTTTACTTAAGAACCCTTGAAGAACCATCATTTTAAAGAGTGTACTGTATCTGTTCTATTTAATATTAGAAATGTACCTGTAATTGAATATTGTTGCCAAATATCTATTACTGTGTTATATCTTCTGATTGACCCCATCAGCTGCACTAGACTAAAACATGTCCATTATAATGGAAACAGTCACAGATTGACCAAAACAAAACCAAAAAATGGGCCGGAGCTGTTTCCATAGCAACTGAAACGTCTCTCATCTCCCCACAGCCGTCGCTGGAGGAGCGCGTCCGCGACATCGCCATAGCAACACGCAACACCCGTCAGAACCGGGGTCTCTACAGGAACATCCTGATGTACGGACCACCTGGGACGGGAAAGACGCTCTTCGCCAAGGTGAGCCCACCGATCGGCAGAGCTGCTGGAACTGACCCAGCTCTGACCTGACGCCCCTCGGTCTGATGCTCTCATGCTCAGAGAGGTGCTGATTAGCTGGAGCAGGTGGGCTTCATGGGGTCTTCTTTTTCCTTGTGCAGAAATTGGCAGTGCATTCTGGGATGGACTATGCCATCATGACCGGTGGGGACGTCGCCCCCATGGGGCGGGATGGTGTAACTGCCATGCACAAAGTGTTCGACTGGGCCAGCACCAGCCGCCGAGGGTGAGGACATCAGACACCGTTCATCACACATTATACTGAATAACAGGAATTACATCTGACCTCACACTGCACTCTTAGAAAAGACGGTTCTTCAAGGGTTCTTTAGTAAAGACTGTCTCTATATAGAACCATGAACACTCAAAGAACCCTTTGCATGCTTAAAAGGTTCATTGCATGGTGAAATTGTTCTTCAGATTGATGGAGAATGTGTCGTTTATAGTTCTGTGTAGCACCAAAAAGGGTTCTGCTTTTGTTACGATGTCAAGCTTGTAACAGTAGCAGAACCCTTTTGGTGCTATATAGAACCATTTTCAAAAAGGTTCTGTATAGAACCATAAACAACACATTCTCCATCATTTCACCATGCAAAGAACCATTTAAGCGTTCATGGTTCTCCATAGAACCATTGTCTTTACTAAAGAACTCCTGAAGAACCATCTTTTTAGAGTGTATATATTATACATGTCAGATTGGCTCAATAATAAGGATTATAATAATAAGTGTCATTGTCATTATTATTATTATAAAAATTATAATTACTGTTTGACTATGTGGTAAAAATATAGTGTCAAGATACACAATCTGACACTATTAGGACCTTCTTCCAATCTATCGCTCTATAAATTAACATCCTCACCTTCCACTCCTGTGACAAAGTGTTCACAGTTCCCACCACCACCCATCTCCTCCCTGTTCCTCAGTCCTACATCAGTCCTACTACAGCTATGAGGGGGTCCGGCCTTCTAGCTACAGACAGAAGCTGCCCAGAACTCCAGGTTCTCAGAGATCTCCCCCTCCCTCAAAGCCTTCCCTCATGCTACCACCACCATGTTGAAGGCACAATCTGAACTCACCAATAATAATAATGCCTACTGCTGGCTAGATATCATGTTAGCCTCAGAAAACCAGAACCTGGACTGATTAATGAGACCAAAGCTGCACCTCTCATGTTAGAAGAGCTATTTGATGAGATTTTGTGTTTGTGTTTGTTTTCTGCAGCCTGCTGCTGTTTGTGGATGAAGCTGATGCATTCCTGCGCAAGAGAGCCACTGTGAGTGTCCGAGTCTGGGTTATAATCTTTAGCCTGTTTGATACTTTATCTGGTTGTTGTTGTTGTTGTTGTTGTTGAGAAATAATAACGTTTGTGTTGTTTTTCTGACTGTAGGAGAAAATCAGTGAGGATCTGCGAGCGACGCTGAACGCATTCCTGTACCGCACTGGAGAGCAGAGCAACAAGTGTGTTCACCTACTTACACTTCAACTGACGAGCTCAGCCAAAAATCTACCTTATTATTATCATTTCCTCATAATTCAGTGTGTGAGATGTAATCAGAGAGATTCAGAGCGGTTTGGTGTGAAATGGTTCAGATGTCTTTACAGTGGTGGTGATAGGAACCAGGGGTCGCCATGACTACAACACAAATATAGACATTTTATTTACTATCCAGAACCACCACTGAACCTACACGAGTCTTCTGAGTTTATATGGAATGTTGATGATGGAAAATAGTGGAAAATCTGAAATAATAAGTTTTCTTTGGGGACTATTTTGCCTCACAGCACCCTGAATATTATGTATCCCTCCACCATGAATGGAGTTTAAGTTCTCTAAACTATCATAAAACAGTGTCTCAGTCATCAGGCAGTGAATTCATAACCATTTCATGTAGGAACTTTCTGTGAGGGAGCTTTTAGAGGTGGACGTCTGGTTCCTATCACCACCACTGTGAACAGTTCTGACTCGGTAAGTTTATCTAGAACAGAGCGTTTCACACCAAACCACTCAGAACGATTCTGTTTACATCTCAAACGTTTTGGGAACTTTAGGAACACATTGGTGGAGTTCCCCTTTAAAACACAGCCTTATATGCCTGACTGAGTGTGGAACTCCACTGCAGCCTGTTAGCGGCCTGTTAGGCTGTATTCATTACCAGCAAAATGACCATTTATACAGGAATTATTTCTTCAGACTCATTTATTTGACCTCTGTTCAATAAGGTGCTCTCTCTGTTTCTCTGTGTCTGCAGGTTTATGTTGGTTTTGGCCAGTAATCAGCCCGAGCAGTTCGACTGGGCCATTAATGACCGTATTGATGAAATCGTGAACTTCGCCCTCCCCGGCCCTGAGGAGAGAGAGCGGCTCGTCCGGCTTTACTTTGACAGATACGTACTGGAGCCGGCCACCGGGGGGAGACAGTGAGTACACACTGCCTTAGTTTTGTCCAGGGATTCAAATAAGTAATGTTCTGTTTTAGAATCTATATTATTCATATATCTATTAAAGAAATAAATAAACATTTACTGTTATTTTAGACTTTGTTTGCTGTTTAAGGTGAACAGACTTTTAATGTATCAAAGTGCAGAATATACCAAAACGCATTTAAAGTTGTGTTTATCTAGTTGTAGATAAAAACAGCCAATAAAACAAAAAATAATACGTTTGCAGAACTACACTCAGCAAAAAGGGTTCTAAAGTACTAAAAAAAGTTTTATGACTAACAGTAGTAGAACTCTTTTTGGTGCTAGGCTGAACCATTTTAAAGAGCCATACCACAGTTGTTCCATCATAGAATAGAGCCATTTAAACCATTTATACATTGAAATGGTTCTGTGCGTGTGCATGGTTCTGTTTATAGCCATTGCCTTTAATAAAGAACCCCAGAAGAACCACATTTTTAAGGGTGTATAAGGTACATTTATGTCCAAGCTGTCGTCAGTGAGAATGATCGCATGATTCAGTAAAGCTAGTTGTAAACGTTTTCGTCTCCTTTTGTCAGTGAGAACTAGATATTTTTAAAGGACCCATATTCTGCATTGGTCTTGCATTTTATTTCTTTCTCCTGTGTCCCCTCATAATGTTGGTCTGTGTTTATTTTTCCAAAAATATTCATACTTAATTTTACCTGACTGTTTTTCAAAGCTGTTACTGTGCCTTTAAGACTACTGTAAGTAGATGAGCTCTGTTCTGATAGGCTGTGCCTCATTCAGAAAGCAGTCCAGGCTTAAACACTCCGTATAACTTGAAGTGTGGCTAAACTGATAAAGGCTAAATAGGCGTGTAAATGTGTTGGTTATTGTGACATCACAAAATAATGAGTTTTAAATGGGCTGTTTTTATAGCTCGACTTCCACGTATGTGGACTGTATTAACGAAGGAGTTTTAAAACTTTAGGAATATTTACATCAAACTATTTTATTTTTTTAAAAAGCGAGGAAGATGCTGATTTCAATGATTTGGGACCTTTAATGTTAGTTTTGCCTGTATGTAAGGTGTTATTTTGTCCTGGGGCCGTGTTACAGAAACTTCCTTCATTATTCACCACCATCACTGTAATATTTCATCATCAACATTAACACACGAAGGTGATCAGAGGGGCGGTGGAGATCGAGTCTGCAGCGTCTGAGATCTTTAAAACGCAGAGTTAGAAAAGAAAATCATCTCACAGTGAAAGCAGCGTTTTACAGTAGAAATAAATGGAGCTCATTATGCTGGTAGTGAACTATGCTGCTGACTCAGCTGCCTAAAAACCATAGAAACGGACCTTAAACAGAAGTGAGGACCCTGTTGGGGTTCATCCTAAAGTTAGGACAGGATTTAGGAGGTTTAGTCTAGTTAGGATGTTTGTGTGATGCTGTTTTCTTATCTGGAGTTCATGATGAGATTATGAAGTTCGGAACTGTTATTCTGGAACAGCTACTGTCCGAAATTCAGTCCAGACTGAAGTCGTCATGGAGACCAAACACATCAGATTTCAGAGTTAAGAAGTTTCTGTAATGCGGCCGCTGGTTTGTAGCACCAGGCGTGTGGGACTACAGCTGGAAACTAGTGGTTTGAGTAATGTATTGTGCCAGATAGATATTTATTACAGATTTATTGTTTATTGTAGTTACTTCATTGGTTCTGTGTGCAGGCAGTGAGTTGGATCTGTCCTTGTTGAGACGAACACTAGAGCCTTTTCTGTTTCCCTCACTGTAGTATGGTGGGACATTGTTAGTGAAAGTGTGTCAGGACTTTGGTGAACACACTCATTAATTTTACTCTGAACTGGGGATGAAAGGTCCCACAGAGAGGGAGAGAGAGTGTATTATGAGGTTGAGGATGAAGGATGTAACACCTGAAGAACTCCAGAACTTTCTGCAGAAAAGACTTTTTATCTGGAGCATCAACTTTTTTGTAATCTTATTTATACGTTATGACAGACTCCGTCACACAATCTGCATTTGAAATACATTATTGAGATGTGAACAGTCGTTCAGTGGTGATAGGAACCAGGGGTCGCCATGACAACACAAATATAGACATTTTATTTACTATCCAAAACCACCAGTGAACCTACACGAGTCTTCTGAGTCTATATGGAATGTTGATGATGGAAAATAGTGGAAAATCTGAAATAATAAGTTTTCTTTGGGGACTATTTTGCCTCACAGCGCCCTGCATGTATCCCTCCACCATGAATGGAGTTTAAGTTCTCTAAACTATCATAAAACAGTGTCTCAGTCATCAGGCAGTGAATTCATAACCATTTCATGTAGGAACTTTCTGTGAGGAGCTTTTAGAGGTGGACGTCTGGTTCCTATCACCACCACTGTGAACAGTTCTGACTCAGTAAGTTTATCTAGAACAGAGCCAAACCACTATGTTAATTATTTAATTATGCAGAAATTTTGAAAAATCTGTGGAGTTCTCCTTAAACAGATCCGAAACATTTACTCAACTGTATAAATAATTATTAGTGGCAGCAGTTGTAATCTCTCTCTCTCCCTCCCTCCCTCCCTCTCTCTCTCAGGCGGCTGAAGCTGGCTCAGTTTGACTATGGAAAGAAATGTTCTGAAATCGCTAAGAGAACAGAGGGCATGTCCGGCCGAGAGATTTCCAAACTGGGCGTGGCCTGGCAGGTGAGAGAACACGCATCACTGGCTCCGTCCACATCGCAGCCTTCAGTGTTCATTTTGATAAGAATTTAAAATTTAGGGTTAGTCTTAAGCGCTCAGCATGTTTCTTAGTGAAACTAAATTCTCGAGGGTTGCGCGAAGCCAAAAGCGCCTTTGTGATCTTACAAACTCGCACGTATTGTGGTTTTGTTTTGCCTGTTGCGGATGCTCCTCTAATGCAGGTGACCTTTTATAAGTTCCACACCTACTGAAAAACCATTCTATTACAGTTCTAACTATAACGACATGCGAGTTCAGAATGCGGCCACTATTTAAGGTGGAACGGGAAAATTCGAGAAGCTGGAGAATATCTGACTTCAGCTTCGTATCACTGAAGAATTAGCGGTGTTTGATAATAAATAATCGCCCCCCTCTTTGAAGATCATATGATGCCCTAAATGTAACTAAAGCCCAGCAGTGAGGAGCTGAACTTTACCCTCCTCTGCTGTCACTGCAGACTGGCAGGGTCGCCTACAGAGCAGCGCTGGTAGCTGTTAATGAAGTGATGCTCTTTTTATTTGAGGGTCCCATTTCAGAGGGAGGATTTCAACCACTACCCTGTGACTCAGTAACAAGGGGCAACACTCGAAAACAAGGGGTAGAGGTGAAAATAAGAAATGGCACTGGGCCTTAGTCTTCATTGACCACCTTTTATTATATGACTAAACTCCCGTAACTGTTGCACCATTTAAGTTTTCATTTTTTTCTGATATCTGATCTTCCAGCCTGGCTGGTCCACATTCGAGTGTGTAAGTGACCCGTATCTGTCATTATTGTGAACACACCTGGATGTGCTGTGACAGGAAAACACAAATCGCATGAATTGGATCTGACCGGTCTTATTAGGGTCACCACAGCCACGTGTCGGATATGCATCAGATTTAGGGGTTCATATGAAAGTTGATCAAATCTGATTCGAAAACAAATTCGTGTCATGTTTAGGCAAATTCAGGCTGATCCAGGCATAGAGAGCTGGAGGCTCTGCTGTTCTCGTTACAGGTCCTGTTGGCGGTGCTCTAGATTAATCTAGACCGCCACTCTGCTCTTCCCCTCAAACCAAAATAGCTGAAAGTAGGACACCAGCTAGTTTGTGTGTCACAGTGTCTATGTCCACCAGCAGGGGGCAGCGCAGCACTTCCGCAGTCGCAATCTCTCAGGGCCTGTTTGTAAACAATGACAAATTGTCTGTATTTCACTTTTCCTTTTAGGACCAGCTTAAAATCTCAGTACGTTCAGTGTCTTTTATTTTCTAATCATGCGTTCTTTGAGTGTTCATGGTTCAATTAATAATGTGCATGGTTACATATTGGTCTGCATTGGGGGGCATTTTGACAGTATTTATCATGATAAATTACTTCATTAAATACATTTCTCAGCATATATTGTGGATATTGTGTGTTTCACTGCAGAGAGAGCATCATTAGTGCTGTCTAACTGGGTGTAGAGCAGCGCAGTGTGTGGAATATGAAACAAAAATCATTGTATTTAGAGTTTTTGATGGTATTTTTTTTATTTGGCACCACTGTGTCCAGTTTCCTTGGCAAACCTGTACAGTAAACAACATTGTTTATTGTATTGACAACCAATATCACATAAAACGATTCGGCAAAGACATACAGCGAACATCTATTTTAAATAATTGTTAGATTAATATATAATATAGTACTTTTATTATTATTATTGTTATTTATTTATTCATTTTTCCCCTTTCCTCTCTCAGGCTGCCGCGTACTCCTCTGAGGACGGTGTGCTGACGGAGGCGATGATTGACGCTCGCGTGGACGACGCTGTCCGCCAGCACATGCAGAAGATGGACTGGCTGCAGGACACGGAGGGCATCACTATGTCTCCCAGCCACCAGGGGGCAGCAGCAGGCAAAGGTGCCAAAATGGGCTTCATTGTGCCTCAGAATGCCCCTCCTCAAGCTCAGGAGGTGCTGTCTCCCTTACAGGAGCGCTCCCCTGCTCCGGACTCTACCATCACGCCAGGGGAGGGGGGTTCAGCTGCAGAGAAAGAGACTGTTCCATTTGCAGGAGAAGGGGCAGCAGAAGATAAACAAACTGGGAAGAAAGAAGTGCCACCCAGGGAGGGCACACCGGTTTAACTGGAGTCCAGTTCAGGGGCCGTATTAACACCACACTGCAGAACAGGGCAGCCGGTCCTGGGCCAGATGTGTGTTTACATACATGTATGTATGCGGAGATCAGCGCAGACAGAAGCAGCCTGGTTCTAGATCAGAATTTCTAAGATGAAATAACCCCAGACTGAGTGGGTAACTCTGGGTGACTCCATAGAGGTGCTGTATCTGGTTAATAATAATAATAATAATAATAATAATAATAAAATGAAGGATCAGTGAATTTGTATGGACCTTTATGAAATCGCTGTCACTCACACATTCAGTCGGCTCTGTGGACGAATCCAGACCGGTTCTGTTTAAAATCCAGTGCACAAGATTAGTTTATTTTTATTTCTAGTGCACAATATGGACAAAATACTATATTGTGATTTACACTGCTACACACTGCAACTGCAGTTTACCTAACATTACATTAAAATGCACTGGGAATGCAATAATGACACATTTAAAGACTGACTGGCATTAATTTGACCCTAATTATTTACTTTTAAGATTCCATGAATAACTTAATTCATCTAAAAAAGAAAAAAAAACACACTGATCTGGAACTGTGATTGGTCAGAATGCTCACAACAGAGAAAGGGCTCATTTGCATATCGAAGCCCAGCTGTACCTACACTTATAAAATAAGATGGCTCCTCAAGTTTACTTTAGTAAAGTCAATGGTTCTATTTAGAACCATGAGATCCAAGAATTTGTTTCTTAGCATGGTGAAATCAGTCTTCAGGGTTCTGTGTAGAACGTTTTTGAAAATGGTTCTGCGTAGCAGCAAAAGGGGTTCTTCTGTTGCCACGATATTTACAACACATTCTCTGTCAGTCTGAAGGTCTATTTCATCATGCAAAGAACCATTTAATCGGGCAAATGTACTCTTTGAGTGTTGTCTTTAATAAAGAACCCTTGAAGAACCGTCTTCATTTGAGAGTGTAGATAATTCACTCACATCCTCAGAAGAGGCGTCCATCACCATTTTGACTCTCTTTCAATCATCATATTCATCCCCTGGAGGAAAGAACTATTGAAGCACGGAATGGTTCTAAACAGAACCATTGCCTTTACTAAAGAACCTTTGAAGAGCTGTCTTTTTTTAAGAGCATCAAAATCGTATCTGATCACACCAATACAGTCACGCTGTAGTCGAGAAAAGCCCGTTCTGTCTGTAATTTGCTTAATCTCTATCGTGGGGGGTCATTCTGGATAGTATGTATGTCAGTGTGGCCAACAAAGAACTGAAGGAAGTGGTGGTGAGGGCGGGGATGTGGGGAGGGGGGGATGTTCTTTAAAAAGTCATGACGGTGTCAAACGTCTGTGTTGTGTGTAATGGATCATGTGATCATGTGTAGAATGTATGTTGGTGTATTTTCCACTGAAAAACACTGTCAGTAACTCTAAAGTCTGGAAAAAACATGTTTCACTGTAATGAGATGGAAAACATTTGTATGACTGCCAATAAAATACCCTTATAAAGAGCACTGAGGTGTGTGCGGCACACTATTTGGTATGGGAATCTCCAGAGCTTACTTTCCAAAGTAAAAGTCCTCGTCTATCATTGTCTGCCTTTCGCATCTAGAGCCCATGTGTCAAACCCAAGGCCTGCGGGCCAAGTCAGGCCTGTGACACAGTCCTATTCAGCCCGCGAAATTATTAAAATGTTCTCTTATTATTATTAGCCCATTTTACCCTGAGATGCACTGCAGTCCCCAGCATGCACTGCAACAGTGCGATAGATATACATACATAGATATGTATATCTATCGCACTATGTTGCATATCTGCATACATACCTAGATGCCGCGTTGGGTCCAGCCAGGCACGTCAACGGCGCCGCCATTTTGAGGCGGTCAACATCGCTGCTGAACCTGTTGATGTGATTGTTTTTCCTCTTTACAGTGATGGTTAAAGCTTTGTAGCGGTAAGTTATGGCATTCCTTAATCCGTGTAGCGCCTTCTTAGACGAACCTGAAGTTAGCTTCTTATTTTCCAGCTTCTTGTTCGAATTTTCCCGTTCCACCTTAAATGGTGCAGCTTCAGGCGCCAGAAAGTGACTGCTGCGCCATTTAAGGTGGAACGGGAAAACTCGAAGAAGAAGCTGGCGAATAGGAAGCCAACTTCAGCTTCGTCCTTCTTACTGTGTTTTGGGGGGTTTATTTTATTTTTATGTGTATTAAGATTAGAAGTGATTCACACATTGATGGATTTGCTGATGTGTCTGATTGTGTTTCCCGTGCTAAACTCGGTTTTGACGTCAGACTGAATACTGTCCCGCTGGTCCGGACGGCTAATTAGCTCGATCAGTTATTACAGTAATAAAAGATACAGAGAGCAGATCCGTGCAGCCTGGATTAATCTGTGTCTGAGGATTATAACTAAACAGATCTGGTGAAAATCGGTTGAGTAATAAGGAAGTTGTGGCTGATTTAATCCTGGGGCTCTTCGTCTCTCAGTACAAGTGAGTTTGTTCACAGGCGGATCTGGACCTCTCCAACATGGCGGACGTGCAGACGTATCGCCTCAGATAGAGAACAGCAGACAACGCGGCATCTAGATATGTTTATCTATGGTTCTGCCCCCCTTCCCCAACAACAATCTATGGGCCAGCGGTTACACAAAAGATGCCTGGTCTAGTTCAAGCAAATAGGTATTTAAAAAAAATAATAATAATATGTAAAACTACGGAGCCCCGCTGTGACATCCTGTATAAATAAAAATAATGCGTGGCCACGACTTAGTAAGGCGTGGGAACGATATCCTAATGCGTGGCCACGACTTAGGAAGGCGTGGGAATGAGACGATTAAGCCGTGGCCACGACTTAGTAAAGCGTGGAAACGAGATCACGGCTTACTAAGTCGTGGCCACGCATCAGGGTCTCGTTCCCACACTTTACTAAGGCGTGGCCACGACGTAATCATCTCATTCCCACGCCTTACTAAGTCGTGGGCACGCATTATTTTTATTTATACAGGATGTCATCAGCGGGGCTCCGTATAAAACTTATTTTTATTTATAATTATTTTTGAATAGGTATTCAAGGCCTATTTTGAATAAACGATGGCCCGTTCAGGTCATGGCAAAATGCTAAGTAGAAATGAAATGAAAACAGCTGGCCCATGGATTTGCTGAGATTATGTAATATGGCTCTTTTAGTGGTTGAGTTTGACACCCCTGATCTAAAGAATACGACTGTAAACAGCAGAATTAATTCTCTTTAGCACTTTAGCGAGTAAAGGATTTACTGAGGGTTGCTGCCTTTTCAACGAGCCAAGACTGGACAACACAAAATGTCTTTTTGGAGTGTCAGTATAAGGGAAGCTAAAAGAAAAAAAATCTAAATTTAATTTTGAAGAACTAAAAATCAGATAAACAGCCTTTCAGTTATCAGTCATATCTGAGATAAGTAGCTGATATTAGATAATGAGATTAGTATAATTATCTGTCTGAATACATACACAGCAGATTACTGATCAGCTCCACCCGGTTTGAGGCGAGTGCTTGATGATATAGACATGGAGCTAACTGCTGCATGGTATAATGCCGAAGGAAGTGTGCCCTCAAATGGAAATTCCTACTCGGAAAGTCGGGAAGGGGTCCTCAACTCTGGGTCCAACATTAGATACAAACAGTTCACACAGTCAGCAGTAATAAAGCACCACTAATCTAGTTCTATTCTAAGATTACAGCAGTGTTAGCTTTAGATCAGTCAAGTTCATTGTTTAGAGAAAGTAAATACATACATCATGAAGTGTTTTAGGTACTCAAGATATCCAGGATACGCTCAGAAGAGCTTACTGTGACATCATTAATCACGATAACGATAAATATTGTCGTATTGCCCATAATGTTAAAGCTGTCACTCATATCACTAACATGAGCTGACTAGCCTGTTGCTAAAAATACTCATTTACATGGAAAAGTCCATGTTTTCTTTTCCCACTTTAGCCATTTTTCCACTGCATGGTACGGCTCGACTCGCTTCTGGTATCAGCTACTACGTTTTCCACCGCAGATATAGCGCCCCCTCAATGTAGCTGGTCGTCACAGCGATGCCAAATGAAACTGCCGTGACATGAAGAAGGAAAGATTTTGTTCAGAAGAGGCAGCGAGACAAAAGACTGCTGAAAAAACAGGAGAGTTTGGGAAAAACTACATCAGAGTTCAGATGAGTCGATTCTGGTTGCTTAAAAAAGGCGATGCAAGAAGCTACGCTAACCTGGTAGCTAATGTTAGCATATGTGTTTAGCGATTCTCTCCGACCAATCAGCAGTCTGTAGCGTTTTTACGTCACCTTCTTATATCGGCTCAGCTCGCTTGGAACCTCAATGGAGGTGGTTCCATAAATAATACCCAGTACCAGATACCAGATTTGCCTAGTGGAAAACCAAAAAATGCGAGTCGAGTCGAGTCGAGTCCGTACCATGCAGTGGTAAAGCAGCTTTGGAAGCTTAAGCTACGAACGTGACTGAGCGCACAAAGGTCGAAAGTGGCCTAATTACGAATTCTGGCTTCCCGTTTCCGAGTTAAGTCAAACACATCCATTACCTGTTAGCTACGTTAGCCTCGTAGCTCCAGCGCTAAAATTAACGTAGCAGAACTTCGGACACCAAACATTTCTGGGCTGAAAAGCTACACTGAAGGAACGGGGCTGAAAACTGCGTAAACTGGACTTTTGCAACAAAACGTTCCTTTAAAGAAGAGAGAAGTCGGAGTGGGTTCACGGTTCGACTCCACCTTTTAATCAAACACACACAAACATCTTCACAAAAACGTTTGGACAGTCGGGCACTGAAGGAGACGCTTCTCTTCCAGCTTAAACTGTTTTCATCCTTTAACAGCTTTTGTAGATGCAGACATTAGTATCCCACAACAGCACACACGATTTTACTATAAATAAATTAATTAATTCATTAATTAATCAGTAACAAAACAAACGAAACCCATTAGACGTCTCCATATCCATGTACAACAAATCCAATTACAACAACAGATCTAGGAGGAACCTGCCCATGCTGATGATGTCACACAAAAATATCTACCCCGCCCCGCACGTTTTTGCACCATTACAATTGAAACTGCACCACAGTACTAAAGTTTTGTGGGCATGCCATTTTTTTTTTCCTAAAATAGACACAAAATGTTTTTCCCCGATACATAAATTCACCACCCCCCCCTTTAAAAATGCAGATTCTGACTCCCACCTGCAGCCCCGCCCCGTACAAAACTAACACGTCCCCACAAAAACTCGTAAAAACAGACATCGGCAAGCAAAATAAACATCTAATCATCAAAAAATGGAATACCTCGGGCAGAAAAAAGTGCAAGTTGGGTCCGGTCCCTGTCCGAAGTAAAACAGAGAGCTGCTGGATGGTAGGCTGGACGTTTACAGACAGGTCACACAGGCGTCACCGTTTGGAAGAAAACAAACAAACAAAAAAAACACTGTGCCTTCAGTCCTGCTGTCGTTAAAACACACAGCCTGCGAGCACAGGTCAGAGAGTGTAGCGCAGGTCACAGGTCAACTGACCTGAACGCGCCAATCTGCAGCTGCGGCCTGACCACCAAGTCAATCCAGATAAGTCCAGACGTACGATGTGCATCGAGTTTACTGCTTCTGTTGTGTATTTATGTGGCGTCTGTGTGGACGACCGTTGTGCCGGCAGCAGTTCTAGACCTGCAGTTTCAGGGCATGATGTGCTTTCAGGTTCTGCGCCCCCTTGTGGTCAGGATTTGGGTTAGGCTTACTTGGACTATGTTTGCAGTTGAAGTCAGGTTGTTAACTTAATCATTAACCATCATTAACTTGGCCTGTAAATCATGATGTATAAATAGACCCAGGAATTAAGTTAGAAGGACCCACATGTGTCAAACTAGCTTAGAAGTTCAATGGACAGCTAAAGGTTAAACTAGCTAGCTAGCTACCCAGGAGTTATGCTAGCACAACACAAGCGGCGGTGAGCGACGTTTGTTTATTCGATGTTCGTTGGTGACCTTTAGAGGCCGGCGGCGACAAAGCCGGTTCATGAGGAGTGTGGCCACTTCCTATTTCCCCCATTATATCAAAAACAGGACTGCAAAACGCCAGAGGGCGCTCGCGAGTCCTCGATGAACGGGGCTAAACGGCTAAAAACGAAAAGTTAAAATAGTTTCTAATCACTGAACCAGAACTTTCCTTTCATTTTAGAAAGTAGAAGGATGGATTTCACTAAAAAAGCAAAGAAAACTCACCTGTATGTTTCCTTTTTTCTATGGTAAACGGGTTTTGGGCAGCAGGACGCTAACCTTACTGCTACTAAGCGCTGATTGGTTGGCGAGCGGAGCAGCTCATTGGCTGTTTGCGCTCATAGACGACATGAACGTACATGAGGTGCCGTTTTAAACTCCTATAACTCGAGTTTAAAAGCTCTTTAAAATATAACAGCAGTGTCAAAATGTTTCATGTTGTTCTGTGTTCAGGAAATGATTGTATTTATAAATGTTTAATCATTTATAAACTATGATTTTGTTCAAATGGTCCATATTAACCCATTCATTTTGGACTCGCTCGCGAGCGCCCTCTAGTGTTCAAGAAACCTGGAAGACATTACAGAGCGGCAATTCTCCTCTCTACAGGTTCTCTAGCGGCGAGTGGCGTTTGTTTATTTGAGCTCAAGCTGTTTCTGTCCTCAGTTAGGAGCCACTTATGATCGTCACAGCCCTAAACTCACCTTCACTGCACACTTAGCTGTTAATGTATTTAAAATGTATTAAAATCTCAGGGGCAGCATTTTTAGACCTCTAGGAGGCCTCAGTTAATCCTTCAGAGCTGGCAATCCTACTAGCTGTGATGCTAGATGTGCTAGTTAACACTAGCTGCCTAAGTGTTATGCTAACACAAGACGTTTAGCTGTTTGAAAGCCACATCGTGCTGTGTAACTGCAGACTGGCGCGTCGCTCGGGGACCTGCTGGACTGCGTGTCTGTGTTAGAGTCTGCGTGGGCTCGGGTGTCCGTTATGGTAATGTTTCTGTTTGATATGCACCACGTTGTTTCCTCCGGTTTCCTCCGGCCTGCGCAGCTGTAGCCGCCGGTGCAGCTCCCTCACGTCACACACACGGGTCACCCACTTCCACGAGCGCCAGGCATCTGCAGGGAGAGAGAGAGAGAGAGAGAGATAGAGAGAGAGATCTTAAATTATAGCAACTGGCAAAAAAATCTGTTATTTATTTTGTTGTAGCCCTGAAGTGATGAGGCTCATGTAGCTACCAATTATTAGCAGTTTGCTAACCACATCCCTAAATCATCAGTCTCGCCTCAAACCGCGTGGAGATGTTCAGCAATCTCTAATAGACTTGACAGACCATTCTCACATTTCTGTGTTCATTAATGTGGAAGTGTAAATAGTAAACATAGGAAACAAAAAATGTTAATTCATATCTGGTCTCTTTGTAAACAAAAGCTGAGACTGCTGCCTGGAAAACGCACCAACAATTCAACCAAACAGCCTCACCTGAGTTTCCACTCCAAACTGAAAGATGTTCAACTTCAGCTGAAAATCTCTGCGTGTCATGTGACGCTTTTAACGAGGTAACCAATCAAAAAAGAGGGTAAAACTGAACTGAGGAGCCACGCAGGGCTGTACAGGAGAGTTTAGCTCATATCTGTGATCTGAAGACTCATTTCACCATGCAGAGAACCATTTAAGCACGCACATGGTTCTTTGAGTGTTCGTGGTTCTATACAGAACCACTGTCTTTACTAAAGAACCCTTGAAGAACCGTCTTTTTTAAGAGTGTAATGCACACCGTCTAGTTA